ATGAAGAACCCTCCACAGGCTTACTCCCGCACTCAGGTGTGACAGCTACCTCTGTTGAGGTCAGGAGATTTATACATTTCTTTCTGGGCTAGGTTTTGTCCATCCAACCAACTTGTTCCCCTTGCCTCCAGTATCATGTTGTTAACTCCTTGTTGTCATGCTGTTTTTACAACCCCTTAATGATCATCTCTATACACACACACACACACACACACACACACACACACATATTCATTTTTGGTACCTAGAAGTTGTTAGTCCTTTGTAGCTACAATTACATAGTGCCTCCCCATCCAATTACTTGATTTCTACAATTTGTTTCTTAAGCAAGAGCAAAAAGTTTCAAGTTCTTTTTCCTAGCCATATTGGGTCATCCTTACAGAAATTCTGGTGTAGCCACTTGCCATATTTCTCTTCTATGGGAGTATCTGAGGAATCTGTCCCCATCACCCCTCTGGGTCACCTGAAGACTTCTGTGTGTGTATTCCCCCCAAAAGTTTCATGTTGCTTCCTCATGTTGTCCTCTATCCTTAAAAGGATCTGCTCCAGTGTTTCACTCTAGTCACTGTCCTCTTTGTGTATCTTAATTCCCTAGACACGCTCTACTGTATGAAATAGCAATTTTCATACTTTTTTCCTCTAAAGTCATGGAATCCTTTTATCAAAGGGAGTTTAAGTAAAGTAGATCAGGCTGATCTGGCTGAAATATGCATTAGAGAGGTAGCCAGAAATATACTGTGTGTTAGGTGTTTAGGTGTTACTGTGAAGTTTATGAAAAGCAAGTAAAGAATTTCAAAGAAGAAGACATGATCAAGCTTGTATATTTTGCATGATTTCTCTAGTGGAAGTGAAGAGGATAACTTGAAGGAAGGGTCCAGTAGAATTAGAAGGATTAGGAAGGATACTATGAAGAATATAAGGGGTATTAAAACATCTGAATCATCAGAACTTGCTCTCTGGTATGGAGGCAGTGAAAGAGATGAGTGTAATGTCTCCCAGGTTTCAAACTTGTTCAGTAATTGTCTGCCAATTACTGAAAAGTGGGGAGGTAGGAGGTGATAAAGGTTTAGGGCAAAATATTAGGTTAGTTTTAACATACTGAGTTTGAAGAAGACATCCAGTAACCATTTGGTAAATAGATGTGGAAATCAGCAGAATCTGGCTTAGAGAACATGCTTTTATCGTCTTTGTTTCTAATGGCAATCAGCTCTCAACTTTGCTTAGGCAACTATTCAAAATTCATACAAAGTAGTCTTTTGCACCTGAATTGTCTATGGAGTCTTGCTTTCTTCCAATATAGTCTGCAAATGGACTCTACCTCCTATACTTGTTACTTCAATAATTACTTCTCTCCTCTTTCTCAGTGCTTCTTGCAGATCTGAATCTGGGGTCTTAAGGAAGGTTTTGTTTTGTTCCCATTTTTAGAAAGTAATTTCTGTTTAGAATCTGAGCTTGAAGATTCAAAGGTTCTAACTATGAGAAAATATGAATCAAAAAATCATAGTGTCTGCAGAAGATAGACTTGTTTGCTATATGTGGTATGAAAAGAGGTACTATGTGTAATAAACTGTACATTATGCTTTGTTTAGAATGTTAAATTATGCTGTATATTATTTTCTGTTACATTGTAATGTGTTACTTTTCAAATTTGGGTTTTTTTTTTAAGGTTTATTTATTTATGCACATAAGAGCTGGAGTGCAGGCCAGAGGTGTGGGGGTTGAGAGGATTCACCAGAGACAGTGGGGAACAGAACAGGTAGATTGACCCAAGTACCCTGCGGAGGGTCTACAGCGTCATGTGGGTTGATCCCTGGCCAGCTGGGGATTGAACTGAACTTGTGCTGCAGAGGCTGCAGACAGGAACATAGGTTGTGTCTTAACCCCTTGTGCCACCAGGGAGGCCCAAATTTGGGTTTCAAGTCTTTGAGAAGGGGGCTCTGGGAGAGGCAGGGCTCTTGAGCTGTTGATTTCAGGCCTATCATCACTGTTTTAATCAGAACAACTTAAATGTTTTACATAAGCTAACACTGAAGTAAGGATTCCATAGTTATTTCTTTTTTCTAAGTGGAAAAAGGACTATATTATGCAATTAAATTGTGAGACATATGTAGGGTAAGGAAAAATGTCAGGCTTTTCTGCCCTCCAGCCATCAGGATGGATGATGGATCCTTGCAGTCCTGAATGCATGCCTGATGGCGGACACCTGGAATAGGGTGTGGGTATAGGTAGTTGGGATTCACCTGGGCTGAGACTGTGCTTTTTAAGGGCGGCGTCACGGAGACGCCAGCAGAAGCCAAAAGAGAAACCGAGAAAGAAGCAAGAGAAGCAGAAGCCGAGAGAAGGCGGGAGAGCCCAGATAGTGAGGATTTGCTGGGAGGCCTGCCAGTCTCCCGGCCCCCCAGCACCCTTGCATGCTGTGTACCGGGTAAATCCCAATAAAAGACCTGCAAAAACCACTGAGGGCTCCAGGACTCCTCCTTAACCCGGTCTGCACGGGATCCTAGAAAACCTGCACTGTGTCCATTCCTGCCCTTACAACATATGATGAGGTTAGTGAAGGAAGAGTTCAGAATGAAGGAAGGAAAACAGCTGGACATCCAGGTGGTGTTAGGATGATAACTATAGATTTCAGACAACTGGAGATGCACTGTGGCAAGCCCCCCTCAAAATTTCCAGGAAATTCCTCACCTCAGAGAGAAATACCATGAAGGACTGGCTGTAACATTGACTTTGGGACCCAAGTTGTTTGGAAGGAGGAGTTTGAAACTATTTTTGCTCAAGATAAAGAAATAATATTATGTCCAAACCAAACAGTTGAAGGGAGGGGATGTGACTAACAACACAGTGCTCAAGCCCTCCAAGTCCTTTCATGGAACTAAAATGTGCACATCTACAGAGATAATCATAAAAGGCTTAGACAAGACATATGGCAAGAGGGGTTAACAGCTTTCATATCAGAGATAACAAACTACATCAACTACAATTTTTTGAAGTGAGCTGAATTGAGCTACAATTTTTTTTTGCCAATATTTTTCTTCCTCTCCAATTATTCTACCTGTTTTTCTACAACTCACTTTACACTTTTTCTGGAAGCCCAATGAAATTTGGATGAATGGTTCTGTTATAGGACAGGGAGAGGGGCAGGGAACCTCCCCCTTTCCTGGGGACCACCCTGTTACAGTTCTTGTGTTACTAACAAAACAGGACATAGTTCTAGCCCCGACTGATTAGCTTTTGTTGCCCTACAACTTTGCTCCTTAGAGACAATGCAGGACATCTGATTTTGCTTCTCCATAGCTTAGCATAAGAGCCTAGTAAATGTCTGTTTAATTACTAAATCCACAGCGTTATAGTAGCATCTCCTCTAAGTAATTTAGACCGAATTCTTTAGGTACTCAGGGAGTGCATGCTTGACTCACTAGAGTTTTTTTTTTTAAATTTTTTAAAGATTTATTTATACATACAAGCACTGGGTACAGTCAGAAGCATGGGAGGGTGAAAGAATTCACCAGACCCAGAGCGGGGAGCAGAGCAGGCAGAAGGACCGAAGTACACTGCTGAGGGGAGCAGCGGGCGGCAGGAGAGGTCTGCGCGCCATGTGGGACCCTCCTCCGGTGGCCGGGGAGCAGCCGGGGATTGAACAGGCGCTGGAGAGGCTGCAGGCAGCTTCCCAACCCCGCGCTCAACCGCTGCGCCACCGGGGAGGCCCTCACTAGAGTTTTAAAGGAGAATTTAAAAAATGCCCACGATTAAGGATGAGGGGAGAGGAAAGATGTAATATTTTAAGCTTGTGTGTGTGTGTTTGTGTAGAAAGTGAGGCAAGAGGGAATTAAAAAAAAAAAAAACCTCTGTAGTAACTGTTATGGGGCAACCCTGATATAAAACGGGTTGCTTGGCTCTGGGTCCTCACCCACGCGCTTAAAAGGGGCTTATTAATATTCCACTACAGGCACACACAAAAAGGTTAATAAAAGGTTTATTTACAAGGGAAAGGGAATTAAGGAAATGTACAACTCAGGGAGAAAATAGGGAAATAAAGTCTTTAACGTATCCTACCCCATCAGCCGACCTGGAATCCCAAAGGCACTCTCAGAGCAGGCCGATGCTGCGAGCTGGCAGGGAGCCAAAATGGTGGACCCCTCCAAAGCCCACGTGTCTGGCTTTTATACCACACCTGGCTGCTTAACCCCACCCTCAGGTCCCAGTCACCTTCCCTTTGGTGGTGATGGGATTTGGAGTTCCCAGTGTCTTTGGCTTTGGTCTGGGGTGGGGGTGGAGTCCACAAAGCCTGTATGGGATTAGCTTTAGGACATCCTTTTCCCCCTAACAGTAAGAGATTAAGTGATTTGATTTAAGTGCCTCTTAGAAGGTGACAGATGGTAATTCACAAGCAAAATATTAGCATATGTAAGTTGAGACAAACTGATTCAAAGTTTTTGGATAATGAAACAATGATTTTTATGCTGATTGGCATAACTAGGGTCTTGAACAAAAGCTGCTCCTTAAGGAAATGTTTCGGAACATCCCAGAAAACCTAACACAAAATAACAATGAGTGGGTTTCCACACGTTGTCAAAATGATCTGCCCTCTCCTGCTCTTGGTAAATCAAACCCATCTTTGCCAAAATCAGATACAATTTCTTAAAACACGTAAAAAGCCCCCGCCCTGACATGCCAAGGCAAGTCTGGGGCTGTGGGTTGAGTCCCTTCCTAGGGTGGAAGTTAACCGATTCCCCCACTTCTCTTGGGGGGGTCCGATGATGTCGTGGCTGCAGTGGGCGGGCAGCAGCCCCCAGCCCGACAACATTCCAGGACACAGAGCCAAGAAGGCCGCCGGACGCGCCAGGAGCGGGGTGGCTTCCCTCCAGACGCAGCCAATGGGCAGCGGCGAGCGGGCACCCGGCCAGCCCCAGGAGCCCCTCGCCACCTGGCGCGCGCCCCGGAAGGAGAAGCGGGCTGTGCGGCGTGGCCAGGGTTGCGGTTCCGGGTCAGCCGCGCAGCAGCCAGCGCTCAGCTCCCCGCACCGCCCCGCCCCCGCGCTCCGGACCTGGGCTGGCGGCGGTCATCGGGCCGCACCTGGGCCACATGGCTGAGGGGGACGCAGGGAGCGACCAGAGGCAGGTGAGGCCCCGGCGGGGCGCTGACCTCCAGGCTCGGCTTGGCCTCGCCTTGCTGCCCCGGGCCTCTGACGCCGAGGCGTCCTCCGCCCGGACCGGCCTTCTGGCCTGCGGGCACCGCCCGGCCGCCCCGAGTGCTCCGCCTGATTTTATTTCCCCAGCGCTTGCTGTCCGCTGGCCCTCGAGGCCCGCAGCGCCCGGCGACGGCGGCCTCGGCCTGCCCGGGACGTGCCATCGTCAACCATCAGCACGCGACTGAGCGGCCCCGGGCCGGAGGCAGAAACTGGGCTCTGCTCCCGCTCCTGTCGCCGCAGGGTCACCTTGGAAGAGCCACCAGGGAACCCCTGTTTCTGCCTTTGCAGAAGGGGCTATGAAGGCACAGCCCCTGGAGTACCCCGAGGGCCCCCTCAATTGCTTTCCCCTCTGCTCTGCGCCATCCCCAGCGCGGCTCACGTGGGCGTGCTTAGAACCTTCCCCGCTGGGCTCTGAGGACAAAAGGAGATGAGGCAGTTGAAGGCGTGCTTTCCTGCCCATTTTCACGTTTAGGTTCAGGTTATTTTCCTTTTTTTCGCCCAATCCAAAAGAATTTCTGAAATGTTTTGAGGTTTTGATTACCGAAAAGGTCGAAGCCACTCGGTTCTGTACCCGAATCCAAAACAAAAAAACAACAACAAATGAGATGGGAATAAGAGCTAATATATGACAGTGCTACTGGGCGTGAGGGTGGTATTATCTGTTTGTAAAAAAAGAAAAGATGGAGCAGAGAAGATAGGTTTGTCTTTTCTTTTGTGAATCTCCTGGGGTTATAGGATGTATAGGATGAATACCCCCCTAATGTAACAGCCTATGCTAACCGTGTTCTGACAAAGGATCCTAATTCTGGGATCCTTTGTCAAGGCTGATGAAGTGCATGACTTATAAAGGAATAAGGAAAACTCAGGTTTTGGGGGTATGCACGTTCATTGACTTTCCCCATCACCTTCTTTCAGAATGAGGAAATTGAAGCAATGGCTGCTATATATGGCGAGGAATGGTGTGTCATTGATGACAGTGCCAAAGTATTTTGTATTAGAATTAGCGATGACATAGATGACCCCAAGTGGACGCTTTGCTTGCAGGTATTTCCCCTCTTTATCTATAGTCATTTTACAGTTATAACATTTACACTATATTATTTACTACTGTTGTATTCTTGTAATGATTATACTATTGTGTGATATTTCTAAGTTGTCTTTTTTTGTTGTTGGTTTTTGTTAACTGTTGATTATCTGAACGTGGGTCATTAAATCTCAGATCTTTAACTTAAGCTTTAATTGATAGTCTCAATCTGTCCTATCCCAGTTCTTTTAATTGTTTGTGTTCTTAATATATGATTGACAAAATTGAGTCAGAATTATCACTAATAACATATTTAAGGGAGGGGCCTAAATATGAGGAAGGAGTTCTTTCGGAGATTTAACCAAAAATTGATCTTGTTTCTTTTTTTTTAATAATTTATTTTTTATTTATACAATAGCTGGGGTACAGGCCAGGGGCGTGGGAGAGTGAAAGGATTCACCAGAGACAGAGTGGGGAGCAGAAAGGGCAGATGGACTGAAAGCACTGCTAAGGGGAACAGTGGGTGGGCCAGGAGAGGTCTTCAGCACCATGTGGGCATCTCCCTGGCTGGCAGGGAATTGAACCCATGCTGCAGAGGCTGTGGACAGCCTAACAGCGCTGTGCTGAACTGGCTGCACCACTGGGGAGGCCCTGATCTTGTTTCTTAATGTGGCAAGATTAGTATTGTTCAGTGGCCAGCTTTAGAAATATAGTTTATTTGTTCAATGGCTAGCTTTATAAATGTATACATTTTTGATCCATGATGAAATGTGAACAGATTTATTTTAAAACTGCTTTGTAGGTGATGCTACCTAATGAATATCCGGGTACGGCTCCACCTACATATCAACTGAAGTAAGCTGTATTTCTTTATTTCTATTTTTAAAAGAGATTATACTTTTCAAGGATTGTTTCTCTGTTCTGTATGTGTGTTGATATAAAATACTACTCTAAACACATGCAGTAACTTAAAATACCTTTTGGATTTGGCATAACGCATTTAAATGAAAAATTATATAAAACCATGTTGAAGTATGCCACTAGTATAAAAGAGTAGCAGTCTTTGGGGTCACAGGAATAAAATGGCTATAGAATTAATTGTCTTGAGATATGGGAAAGGAAACCTTCCTCTTTAGATGCCTTATTCTTTAGACCTAGTAATCCAGAAACCCCTACCCATATAGAGTGTCACCTAACCTGGATCTGCTTACCTAGTCACAGATCTTGACATGCCTCTGCCTAGGACTGCCTGCCTTCTGATAATTACCCAGTAGCACTTCTGTTGCTTCTTTTTCCCTTTTTCCCTTCTCTGCTGCCAGACTTTACCTAAATGAGTCAGACTTGCAAGTGACCTTTGATCAGCCTTGCCCCATTACCTAGTAACTGCAAAAACCCATGGGAACAGAATTACATAAAAATCTTAATTACTAAAATTTTAACCCACTATTTACTATTACTAAAATACTTAAGTGTTTAATATTACTAAAATACTACCTACTAGTATTTTAAAACCATAGCTGTAAAATTTGCTGTTAGTAATTTTTTCTTTATTGGAAATGATAGGTATAATATAGAATGCTTATCAGCCTATATGTCCTTTTCAGAAAAAGTTAATTTTTTTTTTAAATAGTGATGTTATCAGCTTCTTAGAGTTGTTTCTCAGGCATCGTATAGAAAAAATTGGGGATTCTTAATAGTGTGACAAAAATCTGTGAATCTGGAAATTAAGATTCTAGAATCTTTGTTGACACTGATATAAACTTGGGCAGGTTTATGACATCCTGTGAACTTATCCTAGTTTTAAAATCATTCCATTTTGATTGAATAATATTGATGTTGACTTTATCATGATTTTCTAGGAAGATTGAATGAGTTAATGCCAGTGAAAGCATTTTGGAACTGTATCAATTTATACAAATATTGAATACCATGTTATTGAAATAATTTTTTAAGTTGAACAAAAACTAATATGTGGTTTAAGCAGTAATTTCTCTGTTTGTCTGCTTGAGATATAAACAGTCCTTCAATAATCTTTAATGTGTTTTATTTAGCGCTCCTTGGCTTAAAGGACAAGAACGTGCCGATTTATCAAATAGCCTTGAGGAAATATATATGTAAGTGACAGGTGATTAAAAAAAAAAATTCCAGTGATTCTCTTGTAGACTTTCGTTGAAAATGATATGTTAAGACCTTTTCTAGTTTTTTTGTTAAGCTGCCTTTTCATTAATAAAAAGGATGTGTTTCCTTGAAATACTGGCTGTATAGTTTTATATATACATGTGACATGACTATAATGTAGATATAAAAATACAGTAATTAGAACGAATAGCTATAGAAATACTTAGCCAGCTTGTGAAAGAAAACTCAGAGGCAGTACTCTCGTTTTGGTATTTTCATAAGCTATGTTGAATGAAACTGATAACAGCAGAATCTTAAATGTAATTGTTTATTAAACTACACTATATTTTTAATGGTAATATTTTTGTATTAGACCTAAGACTGAAAATCTGTTGATATACAGTATTTTTCCTTCTATCATTCAGCAATGAATAAAGCATGGATATAAGCATGGATATAAAAATGGAAGTGGTCCCCTGTTTTCATAGCATTTAGAATTTATTGGTAGGAGAGATACTACTTATCACACTGTAAAAATCAATGTAAAACTACAGCTATGATAAGTTCTATAAAAGAAAGATATTAATGTGCAGTATTAATTGAATTTGAAACTACACTTAACTTAGTATGGGCAATCAGGGTTGGCTTCTTTGACTTACAGGCTGAGTTATAGAGATGAAGATAATGCGAGAGAAACCACAGTATATAAAAAGCCTCTGTGTCAAGAAACTCAGCAAATTTCAGAACACAAAGTAATGGTGGTATGAAGTGAGAGAGCAGGAAGGAAGGGGCCAGGGTGGGAAAATGTTCTAGAGAAGAGACAGGGAAGTCATGCAGTGTCTTGTAGGTCATGTTAAGGGTTTTTATGTATATCCTAAGACCCATGGGAATCAGTGAAGGGTTTTAAATGAAGTGATGATATGATAAAATTATCATTTTGAAAGCACTAATCTGTTTCTGTTTAGAGAACTGATAGCATGAATAGGTATGTGACATTAGTTAGAGGCTAATGTAATAGTCCAGAGAAGATATTGTTACAGGGCAGGGAGAGGGGCAGCCCAGATCCCCCAAACCTGTCTGCTCTAAATAGGTTCTGCCATCCACCGCATCAACACAAAACATATGAGACTTTAATGGAAAGGAACTTTAATACAATTAGGAAACAATACAGGAAAGGCAAAGAATCTAATTTCTAAATCAAGCACCCAAAGTTACCTGTCCACCCAAGCAGGTAAAAGTCCACCCAAGCAGGACTGACCCAGAGGTAGGCCCAAAGCCTGCCACAAGTCTAAAGTATCTTCCAGTGGGGACCCACAGAAAAGGGTCAGAAACAACCAGACAAGTCTGGAGGAAAAGAGCAAAATCAAAAGCAAGACAAAAATCGCCATTGTCACCTCCCCACAGGTCTCTCACCCACATCTATATCAACCAGTCCACGACCAAAAGGCAAGCACAGTTGCTTCACTTGTCTCTCTGCTCCATGTGCCTCCTCCAGGTCTCCTTCTGGCTCTCCATCCTGCTCCCTTCCTTCCTCAGTCTCCTCTGCAGCATCTTCTCTCCTTGCTCAGTTCCACCCTCCTTTTGTGTGGGACAGGAAACCTGGAATCTCCCCCTTTCCTAGGGACCACCCTGTTACAATATTACTGTGATTTATAATAATTTTAACAAGGTCTTTTAGTTTAGTGAAACAAAAAATATTCTGAAATATTAGTTTTACTCTAATCCATGAACTGGCACCCCATTTGGCAGTGAAAGGACGCCTGTATATCACTGGAATCCAGGCCAGGTGTTTTTATTTCCCGAAACATTTAATTAAAAAATGGTTTATCTGCAAATGGAATCGATTCCGTTTGTTCCTTCCTTGAAGAAGTGTAGTCTCCTTTAAGGATTACACTTGATTCTGGAAATAACGAAGAATTGGATAGACCAATGGGGATGCTCCCATTTAGTGATTCCTAAATTAATTGTTTTCACACATTTGTCCCTAACTTTACTGGGCACTCCAACTTTTGTCTCCCCAACACAATTCTTTCTGTAATCCTTTTTTTAAAAAATAGATTGATTTATTTATGCATACCAGAACTGGGGTACAGATGTGCGTGGCATGAGAAGATTCACCAGAGACAGAGTCAGGGACAGAACAGGCAGACTGACTGAAATACACTGCTGAGGGGAGCAGCAGTTGATACAGGAAAGGTCTGCTATGCTGTGTGGGTAGGTCCCTGGCCAGCGGAGGATCAAACTCTTGCTGTAGAGGCTGCAGATAGCTTCACCGTGCTGTGCTTAACCTCTTGTGCCACCACGGAGGCCCTCTTGCTGTAATCCTTTATGTGTATTTATCAGTATATCTCTCCCTCTGAAAATTGAATAAGTTAAATTATACTACACACTTGTTCATGAGTAATATTGTAATTATACGCTGGTCATTCTTTAGTTCTAGCTTACATGACTTCTGTAACTTTTGGTGGTATTGAACATTTCCTCTTGGCTTCTATTTTATCAGTCATATTCATTAGTTAGTGTTTTTTTCTCTACTCATACACAGTGTCGCTTATGCTGAAATGACTTACTACCTACTTTTCTAATCAAAAAATCCTCCCCTTTGCTAAGAGATGCCCTCCCATAGGATAAAACTTGCTGTTTTTCCTAAGCAATTCAGTTGAGCTGTTTGAGAATTAGAGAGTATCAGAAGTTATAAAATTGTTCTGAAGATCAGTGTGTCATACTGTGTACTTTATTAAAGATGCTTCGATAACCTTGGTCCTATGGTATTTTCAGAATACATATTCTGTTTTAAAAAGTTTCCTGTGACAACTTGTAATCATATTTTTCCATATAATTCCAGCAGAGGGCAGCAAGTAAAAAATACTGACCTTTGAAAACCAAAAGTGAGATAAATGTATAAATGTATTTCCTAATGTTTACAGTTTTTTTTATGATCTAAATGTAGTAGCACATCGAGATTTTCATGTTTAGCATAATTTTGAATGCTTAATTTGAATTTTATGTAGATAACATGAACTATGGTTTGTTGCCTTTTATGTAGGGAGGTGAGAAGAAAAACCAGTTTTTCAGGTAAACATGTATTAAACATCTCCTGTATACTGGCACCCTCTTAGTTTGGAATTTGAAAATTAAGATAGAGGTGTACCAATAAAATATAGAGTGCATTAGTTAGTGAGAAATTTGGACCCGGTGTTAAAGTAGCACTTTTTACAGTTTTTTAGCAAAAACCTATCTCTGCTTATGTAGGTGAGGTCATAGAGGAGGGTTCCACTGTGAAGGTGATCTTTGAGTATGTTTGCTGCATATTCAGAGGGAAAGAGGTTTTCTGCAAATGTGTTTCCATGTCAATTAGGATATCCTTGTTTGCTAATTATTCCTATCAGAAATTAATTTCCTATTCTTCTACTGAGGCTGGGAGCGAGGGTCACTGTCTTCCTTGATGACTGCATCTCAGAAGTGACTCCCACTCCTCTAAGGTGTTATCAGCCTCCCCACCTCCCAACAATAAACTATGACTATAAATGTGTTTTTCTAGAGAGAGAATTTTCCCGTCTCAAACAGTGGTTATAAGGATCAAGTGAGACAGCAGGTCTTGTATGTAGGAGCTGCTCAGTGAACACTAGATATTAACATTACTACTCTTGGTAGTGATGATGTGAAGAATTCAGTAACATGATGTTAGGAAAAGAGAAAATTACATATAAAACCATAAATTTGTAAGGATATAATTATAAAAGCTGAGATAAGGGACTCAGTTTTCTCATTCACTATATACCCCCAGGGCTGCATCCTTATGTTGAGTAAGATAAGGTAGGTTTACTTGAAAACAAACTACTTTTGGGCCTCCCAGTGGTGCGCAGCGGTTAAGCGCTGGGTTGTTAAGCTGCCCATAGCCTCTGCAGCGCCCGTTCGATCCCCGCTGCTCCCCAGCCACCTGGGAGGGTCCCACATGGCCTGCAGACCTCTCCTGCTGCCTGCTGCTCCCCTCAGCAGTGTACTTCGGTCCTTCTGTCTGCTCTGCTCCCCGCTCTGGCTCTGGTGAATTCTCTCACCGTCCCGTGCTTCTGACTGTACCCAGTGCTTGTATAAATAAATAAATAAATCTTTTTAAAAAAAAGAAAACAAACTACTTTTGTAAAGTATAGATTTGAGATTTTAAATCTCTTTTTTTTTTAAGATTTATTTGTACAAGCACTGTGTACAGTCAGAAGTGCGGGAGGGTGAGAGAATTCACCAGAGCCAGAGCAGGGAGCAGAATAGGCAGACTGACTAAGAAGTACACTGCTGAGAGGGGAGCAGCAGGCAGCAGGAGAGGTCTGCGCGCCATGTGGGACCCTCGCCCCGCAGCTGGGGATCAAACCGGTGCTGCAGAGGCTGCAGGCAGCTTTGCAACCCGGCCCTCAACTGGCCCTCAACTGCTGCGCCACCAGGGGGAGGCCCTTAAATCTCTTTGACAGATAAGGAACAGATTCAGCGTTCAAGCAGCTTCCTTGCCTAAGGGTGCAGCTGTTGGATTGGAGAGCAAAATGCAGAGGATGGCTTGAATTTTGGATTGCCTTCACATTCTGGCTCTGCTGTTAATGCTTATGAGACTTACTAGAAAAGTTGATTGCTCTTTCTAGATCTGTTTTCTCATTTGTAATGGGAAAATAATATGTACTTCTTTAGGCAGTTGTATTAAATGTGTTGAAAGTTATTTCTCTCTCTCCTTTTCTCTGTCTCTCCTTCCTCTCCCTCCCTCCTTCCTTCCATCTTCTTTCCCTCCTTCCCTCCTTTTCCTTAGTATTGATTCAATAGATTGTACCTTCCTCTGTTTCTGTACTGCTGTCTTTTATTGAGAAGAGAGGATAGAGTGGTGATTGTTTAAAAGAAACTCAGCCAACATTCTCGAATTTTGAAAACCTTTCAAATTTAATTTTGCTTTGTCTAAAAAGATAGGCTACAAAAGAGCCCAGAGATTGTTTCAGTGCTGAGGCATTATTGGTGAGATAAGAAGGATTGAGAATACAGAATTATTTTTAAAGCAGTCTTGTTTTCTTTTATACATTTCTTTTGAAATTATCCTTTGGTGGTTGTTGATGAATAGTGATAAAGATAGATAATAGTCTGCAGGGTACTTTTAAAAGAAGTGGGTAAGATGTTGTTTATGACCTACAGTAGTGATTTCATTAAAAACATACTAAAACTTATTGATATTGGTGGCATTTCCTAAAGACACTTGGGCTTTTGTTTTATTGCTGTCGCCATATGAACCATGACAAATTCTTTTTCTCCATGATCCTTTGAGATGCATTTGGTTATCTAAGGCAATCATAATTATTTGGAACTAAAAGGAATCGATTTGGGCAATAGACTATTTTGTCAAAACAAGATATGAATTAATGTTGAATTTCTTTTAAGTCTTGTAAATGTACTCTATCAATGAGTTCTCTGCAAATTCTTTGTAGCCTTCTTTGTTGAAGTAAGTATACCAAATAAGTGGTCTGAAATTTTTCAAAAAGTTTAGGAAGGCAACGAGTGATTGGATATCAATCTCGAACTATATGCTTTGACAAACTAAATCACATTTGCGTTTATCTAATTCATCCAGTTCAAGTTTGGAAATTTTCTTTCCCCTCTATGATGACCATTTTTTTGGTTATTTTAAGTGAACAGTATTACTCCTGGAGCCAGTTAGAATTTTTTTTTTTTAATATTATAAACAATCTGTTAAATACTCATCCACAAATGTTAGTAAATTTCATATTTTTATGAAATCTTTTTTAAAAGGCATAGCTAGTGTCTTAGATTGTAAATATGTCTGAATTTCCTTGAATTTGAGAAGGAAAATTTTTTAATTAACAAAATTTTTCCCCTCTTTATTTTGTTTAGACAGAATATTGGCGAAAGTATTCTTTACCTGTGGGTGGAGAAAATAAGAGATGTGCTAATACAAAAATCTCAGACGACAGCACCAGGTAGGAATGAAAATTACTGTCAGTGCTCTTTTACTATAGTGCTCTTTTAACTTACAGTAATGAAATTTTAATGTTGATATTCTAATTGAAATTTTTAAAAGATTTATTTTTATTAATTATTTTTTAAAGATTTATTTTTACGTATTTATGCATAGAAGAACTGGTGTGTAGTCCAGAGATGCAGGAGCAGAATAGGCAGATCTACTGAAATACAGTGCCGAGGGGAGCAGTGAACAAGACAGAAGAGGTCTGCTGTGCCATGTGGGTCACCTCCCTGGCCTGGGATAGAGCTCATGCTACAGTGGCTCCCAATAGCTTTACAGTGCCGAGACTTAACCCCTTGCGCTACCAGGGAGGCCTCTAATTTAAATTTTTAATGGAACTCTATATTATGGTTTATATGAGATAGAATACGTTTCTTTGAACAGTTCATTTACTCATTTAATTATGATTTTTTCTGTAAGTTTTAACCTTGTTGGTTTCATATTATATGCTGATAGAAATAGAATCTTGTGGTTAAAGGACTTGAATCAAAAATCTGTCCTGAGGGGCCTCCCTGGTAGCCTAGGGGTTGGCTCAGTGCTGTCTCCACTGTGGCCTGAGTTTGATCTCCAGCCAGGGAGCTAAACCACATATGGTGCAACAGGCCTCTCCTGTCTTGCCCTCTGCTCCCCTCAGCAGTATATATCAGTAGATCTGCCTGTTTTGCTCCCTATTCTTGTCTCTGTTGAATTCTCTTACCACCCCCCACACCTCTGGCCTACACCCCAGTTCTTCTATGCATAAATAAATAAATAAATAAATAAATCTTTTTAAAAATCTGTCTTGAAAAACAAACAAATGAAGCTCATGCAGACAGAGAATATATTGGTGGTTGCCAGAGGTGGGGAAGAGGAGGTATAAAATAGGTAAAAGAGAGTTAAAAAATACTTTCCAAGGCATAAAACAAAGAAGTCATGGGGATATCTTATATAGCATAGATATTATAATTAATAATACTGGATTTTTGTATATTTTAAAATTGCTAAGAACATGGACCACAAAGTTTTCATTATAAAAATATTTTTGTATTGGGATAGATGTTAACTAGATTTACTATGCTGATCATTTCATAACTTGTACAAATATTGAATCATTGCATTGTATACTTAAAACAAATGCTACATGTCAGTTATATTTATATCTAAATTAAAAAAATGCTATTGCAAAGATTATCTTTTTCAGTAAAGAAAATAATTTTTGTATGTTTTCGTAATTAAGGTAATATGAACCATCTAACATTCTTAATGAATTACTGCACTATATAAGTTAGACATTAGCTTCAAATAAGTGTTTATACAAAAAAATCTTTGGAGAACACAGTGACCAAAATTTAGGATATAGAAAAATGACTTTGAAAATTGTGATATGTAATTCACATACTATAATTATTTGACCTTTAAAAATGTATAATTCGGTGCTTTGTAGTATATTTCAAAGTTATACAACTATCACCACTATCTAATTTCAAATCATTTGAAAATTAATTAACATCTGCTCTATTATTGTTCTTTCACAGAAACATTAAATGTATGACAAAATGGAAATTTTTAATATTTCCAGTTACTTTATTCGTCTTGATTCCATTTACCACAAAGGCCTTTTAAAGAAGAAAATAGCTTCATTTAATCTGATTTTATTTCTGAAAGAGTATTGTTTTTCTTGATGCAACCATTTTCAACTTGTGAAAAAGAGGATTAAGAAACAAAAACTGAGTAATGTATTTACAGTTTTTAAAAGGTTATTTATAGGGAACCATCCATTTATGAATTTCTTAGCAAAATCAGTGTATATTTAAAGTTGATAGTATTACATCTTTTTTCAGAGCATTTTACTAATCATAAAAATATTTTTGTATTGGGATAGAGCATTAACAGTGTTCTTACTGTTTCCATTGAAATGAAGATAGTTGGTCCATATCACAATCTTTTTGAAGTACTTTCTTTTTATGATCCATATTCTGATTGTTCAGCCTTTTAGGGCATTTCTAAGAAAAGTGGTCTCAAGGCAAAGTTGATATTTTGTTAGTTAATCTACCACTCTGGAGGGTGGGATATTTCCCAAAATGAAATGTATACTAGTAGAAATTTAGGACTCCAGAAAGTTTAGAATCACTCAAATCTTATAAATTTGTTAAATAATTAATCTTAAAAATGATATTTTCCTTTTTCCACCTTTACCTATTATTTAGTTCAGCCACTCTTAAAGTTTTGAAATTGTTATTTACATTGTAATATTTATAATTTTGGGAAATATCGTTTGGAATTTTTTTATGAAAAATTGTTTTACAGATTTGATATTAAAGTGGAAGGATTAATGATTTTGAAGAACTAATAATAAGTACAAATTCTAAAAAAAGGATATCTCATGAGAATTTTCCCTTTCCAGGGCACCCATTTGACAAGAAATTTATTTTTTTAGTGTTACTCTTTAGTACAGATGTATTTTTATTCTATCATAGTTTTCTACTATGGAAACATTATATTTATATACAGATATTTATACTTTTTAAAAAATTGAAACTAATTTTAGACTTATATAAAAGTTGCAAAAACAGTACAGAGAATTCCATTACATCCTCATTCTGTATCCTCTAGTAATGTCTTACATAACCATAGTATAATTATTAAGAATAGAAAACTAGGGCCTCCCCGGTAGCGCAGGGGTTGAGCGCTGGGTTGCGAAGCTGCCCGCAGCCTCTGCAGTGCCAGTTCGATCCCCAGCTGCTCCCCAGTCACTGGAGGAGGGTCCCACATGGCGCGCAGACCTCTCCTGCTGCCTGCTGCTCCCCTCAGCGGTGTACTTCAGTCCTTCTGCCTGCTCTACTCCCCGCTCTGGCTCTGGTGAATTGTCTCACCCTCCCACGCTTCTGACTGTACCCAGTGCTTGTATAAATAAATAAATCTTAAAAAAAAAAAAAGAATAGAAAACTAATATTGGTTTACTGTAATATTGGTTTAATATTCAAATACCCTAAGCTTAGAGTGTTTGAAAATATAATATTTGTTTAATATTCAAATACTCTAAATTTAGAGTATTATGCCAGTGTCCTTTCTGTTGTTATAGGATCCTGTCCAGGAGTCTGTTGCATTTAGTTGTTATTTCTCCTTCATCTCTTCAAGTCTATAAACATTTCCTCAGTCTTTCCTTGACTTTTATGACCTTTAAGGATCTTGGTGCTTTTGAAGAATTTTGTTCAACTGTTTTGTACATCTTTCAATTTGGGCTTTTCTGCATTGTTTTCTTAAGATTGGAGTATCAGGCATTTTTGACAAGAGCACTACAAAATGCATCACAGTGCATTAATCCTTGATCCCTTAGTTAAGATGGTTATCTGACAGATATTTCCATTGTAAAATTATTGTATTAGTTAATGTTCTTCATAGAAAGATATATATGTTTAATATATATTTAATATATATGTGTATGTACATGTATATGCATGTATATATGTGTATATTTGTGTTTTATTTATGTATATTTGGGGAGGAGAGAGAGAGAAGGGGGAGAGAGGAGGGAGAAAGGAAGAGATTGATTTTTAAAAAGGATTTGGCTCACAAAATAATATAGTCTGGCAAGGTCAGAAATCTGAAGGGTAGGCTGGCAGGCTGGAGATGTAGGGAAGAATTGATGTTACAGCTCAAGTTTGAAGGCTGTAGACTGGGAGATTAATCTTCTCCAATCAAGGCCTTAATCTGATAGGCTTCCATACATTATTGAGGGCGACCTGTTTTACTCACTGCCAACTGATTTAAACGTGAATTCCATGCAAAAAATACCTTCATAAAAATATGTGGAATAGTGTTTGAACAAATGTCTTGGGTACCATGGCCTAATCAAGTTGACATAAAATTAATCATTACAGTAACTATCTTTTCCTTTGTAGGTGATAAGTATTTTGCAGAAGATACTTTCAGGCTGTGCTAATATCCTATTTCTCTTTAAACTTTTACCTACTAATTTTATTTTATTTTTATTTATTTATTTATTTTATACATGAACTGGGGTACAGGTCAGAAGAGCGGGAGGGTGAGAGTATTCACCAGAGCCAGAGCGAGGAGCAGAACAGGCAGACGGATCAAAGACACTGCTGAGGGGAGCAGTAGGTGAAGCAGGAGAGGTCTGCTGTGCCATGTGGGGTTCTCCCTGGCCGGCGGGGAATTGAACCAGCGCTGCAGAGGCTGTGGACAGCTTCGCAGCGTGGCGCTCAACCGCTGCGCCACCAGGGAGGCCCACCTACTAATTTTAGTATCCAGTAGTTGATCTTATCAATAATATTTATTACTATGGTATTTGCCTAATGGTGGTTCTCCATTTTCTCTTTCTTCTACATTTACTAGTTGGAATTCTATTACAAGGAAGAGATTTCTTCTTCCCACTTACTCGTTATTTATCTGATTATTACATCTACCAGTATGAACTCATGTATATTTTATTCCATGGATTAAAATTTCTTTCTTTAATTATTTTGTTCCTCAAATTGTACCAGGTTTGACATTTAGGAGCTCTTTCAAAGCTTGGCTCCTATTTTTTTTTTTTTTTTAAATAAACTTCCATCTTTTTTTGAGCAGTTTCTTACTTTCTGGACTCATGAGATGTTCTCTGCTCATCTTGTATTTTCCTCGCTCCAGTCCTGGAATCAACTGTTGCTCCAGGTGTCCTGGTTCCTTTTATTGAAGAATGGTGTTTAGAGACTAAGACTAATGACTTTTTTTTAAAGATTTAAAAAAAAAAAATTATGTATACAAGAACTGGGCTGTAGGCCAGAGTTACGGGTGGTCAGAGGATTCACTAGTGACAGAGTGGGGAGCAGTACAGGCGGAGCTACTGAAATACATTGCTGAGGGGAGTAGTGGTTGAGACAGGAGAGTTCTTCTGTGCCATGTGGGTTAGCTCCCTGGCCGGGGATAGAATTCATATCACAGTGGCTGGTGATAGCTGATAGGGCTGAGACCTAACACCTGTGCCACCAGGGAGGCCAAAACTAATGATTTTTGTAGCCCTATCACTAAAATACCAGTAACCATTCACCATAATCCATAATCACTTTGCCCTTTTACTCCCACCCTACCCCACTTTAAGTGTAATTTCTTACTGTCTTCCTGAATAACTCATAGTGAGTGTCTCATTATCCACATAGGCCCAGAGGTAAAGAAGAAAACGGAAGAGAAAGATGTTGAATGTGAAGATGAACTTACTTCAGCAAGTCAGCCAGGAAATCCAGTTAAAGCACTGGATTTTGATATCCGCGAAACTCGAACAGGTATAATGTTACTAACTTGTTTCTTTTGAGGAGAGTAGAATGGTAGTATTATATATCATTTTTGGAATGGTTTAGAAATTTAGCAAGCTCTCACATGTTAGAAATAGTTATTTGAAGAAAATTGAGTTATTTTCTTCCTGCCTTCTGACTATTTTAGCATTTGCTAGGTCTATCAGAATGGTGAGGAAAAAATAGAAATTTACAATTTTTTCCCACTTTCTAGAGTTTTGAAGTAGTGGTGGGAGAAATTGAAACCAAGAAAAAAATGTTAATGTTTCAGTTCATATCCTCTTTATATTTTTATTTCAAAATCTTAATTTGTCTCCTGATATCTTGGAGTTAAATTTTAATTTATATTCACAGATATAAGTAAAATAATCAAAAGTGTAACCACTGAATTAAAACTTATAAAATGTCTTAAGATTTTAGTTTATGCCTAAGCAAATTGTTCCTTAATCAAGTACTCAAAATGGATTGATGTTGTAAATCAACTTTGTTTCTACCTAAAAGTACATTCCACTTTAGTATTTTAAATACTTAATGATAGCAGTTTCCTCAAATCTCTTACAAAAAACATGATAGATCAGATGAAACATTAAATTCATTTTTCCTGATTACTTTTCATCTTAAATTAGATAGGGGCAGCTGCTAAAATGGTTGGTAAGCTTTCAACAGAATTAAGAGTAAATCAGTGGTTCTTAAACTTGTTAAAGAAACAGGATAACTGGATATCATGATACTCTATGAATACCCATTGGATATATTATTGACATATTTAATTCAGTCCTATGAAATAGCAACAGTTTTATTAGCAAAAGACATGTTATACAGAATAGTCATAGGTTTCCCAACACAGAGGACCAGTAACAGTAGATTGGTTAATTATGGTATATTAGTAGCTGTCATTTTTTTTGGTCTCAAGATTCCTTAGACTCTTAAAAATCAGATATTTACTATCTTACACCATTGTAACAGTTTACCATTTGCGTTTCAACATACAATTCCCACCAGGTGACCTTGAGATATAAAGATCATTCATACATCAAGTAGTTCTATCTTTTGTACAATATGTTTCAAAACTTCTTACTTAAATTACAATTTGAAATTTTAACATGTAATGATCACTATTTGGGTTGATTTGTCATTTAATTTACATTTCTTTCTCAACTCCCCTCCCCTTCCTTACCTCTATCACCAGTCATTCAGTATTTGAATGTAAGAATTTGAATAATAATATTATTCTTTAAATTTATAGAAATAGAAGAAATACCTCCGATTGATCATGGCATTCCTATTACGGACCGAAGAAGTACTTTTCAGGCCCACCTGGCACCAGTAGTTTGTTTCAAACAGGTAAATTTATTATGTCCAGCTCATTTTGATGTTGTTTTACAAAGTAATTAAAGTAAATGGTTTTGTAATAATATCCTTGTTTTTTTCTATTTTGTTTAATTTTCATGTATTACAAAAATTATTTGAGACTCCAATTTAACTCAGAATCCTTTATTTCCTAAATCTGGTGTATTTGCATATGCTCTTTCATCTGAGTGAAATGGCTTTTTCCTACCCCAGCCTCCTCTGCCCTTTTGATGGAGAAGAGTAGCTGTTTATCTTTCTAGACCTTTCATGTAATCTCTTGGATATACAGCTTACTTGACTCTCAGAGACAATTTTGGTTTTATAATATTTACAATGTACCAGGAGGGGTACCTGTCACATTGGATACATAAATTTGGTAAATTTTCAGAGTTCATTTTAAAAAATTCTCATTTAATCTTCTCTACATGGGGTACTTTTTTTCATATACAGGTACCTTAGACACAGATAGTACTCAAATATTTGTTGATAATTGGTGAACAAAATTCCAGATCTGTCATATTTATGCCAATTGAGAGTATCAGTTTTTGTCCCTAAAGTTAAGAGAAACTTGAGAATTGTTATTTTTAGAGTATAGTAATTCTTTGAATAACTATTTCAGTATGACTATATCAGTATGCTTTAAGATATTTTTCTAGCATTTATTTGTAAAGCAAATAAAAAGTACACAGTAGTTTATTTATATTACTGCTGTTTTTAAGGTGAAAATGGTTCTTGGCAAATTGTATGAGAATAAGAAAATAGCTAGTGCCACCCACAACATCTATGCATACAGGTGAGTGAACATCACCATTTTAGGAATGTGCAATTTGTAAAAAGTGAAGGAAAACTGACATATGTTTTAAAAAGTAAATGTAATGTGGTTTTTTTTCATTCTAAAAGTAATAATCATGTGTAGAGTATTTGGAAACTGCAGAAAATAAAAAAAAAGAGTTGGAGGGAAAAATAGCCATTTTCTGCCATTAAATTTAGTGATAATATATTTTTTGTCCTTTCTGTGCAGTTTTTTCAGTGCTTTGCCCAATATCCTATTTTTTTCTTAATTTAACAAAAGCAGTTTTCCATGTTATAATTGCTTTCTAAACATTATTTTAACGGTTATATAATATTTACAATATTTATTATGCAGTTCCATACCACAATTTAACCATTTCCTTTTTTGTTTTCAATTATCATATTTTGCACTGTTATAAAGAGTAATCCCATGGACATCTTTATATACTTCTTGTATTATTTTCTCAAGATAGATTCTTTTTGTTTCAGATTCTTTTTTAAAATGGAAATGGGGATGTAGTTAAGAGAAGATAAATTCCTAGAAGTAGAATTATCAAAAAGTATGAATAGTTTTAAATTCTAAATACATGTTGCCAAATTATTTCAGAAGTTTTTCTTTTGAACCAATTATGCTCTTGTTATTGAGGAATTAAGTATGCTTTCACATCACATTTTCGGTTTTGAGTATGGAGGTTTTATGTTAAGTGTTGCTGGTTTGTTAATGAAGAGATGAAGGGAATATTTTTAAGTATGCAAATTAATACAGACTTAACATAGTTTAGGATTAAGATAAATTAGAATATACACATAGGGATTTGGTGCACATTTGAAATGTAGAGACTATCCATGAAATGCTATCTGAAACTCAAAAACTAACAAAAAAATCCATCACTTTGGATAGATGAATTTTTATTATTACATTTAAGTACCAACACTTACAAAAGATTATTTATCTAATTCCCTACTTACCAGAATATCTTTGGACAGAATTCTGAATTTCTTAATGAGCTAGGATCAATAATATGACAATGAAGAATTAGACTGCACTTGCTCTCAATGATTAGGATAGCCTGTGTAAGTATTAATAGTTGCCATTCATTCATCTCCTCACATGTTTACTGCCTACTCTGTGCCAAGAGTTTTTACAAAAGTTAATTCTGATTATTTTGGCAACTGCCACTGTAACAAGGTTAGCTTTTTCACGATCACATAGCTGTTAAGTGGTAGAGCTGAATTTGATAATCTAATTTTACTTATCTATTCCCTTTTTTAAAGATTTATTTATGCATACTAGAACTGGGGTGCAGGCCAGAGGTACAGGGGGTAAGAAGACTCACCAGAGACAGAGTGGGGAGCAGAACAGGCGGATCTACTGAAATACACTGCTGAGGGGAGTAGTGGATGAGATAGAATTGGTCTGCTGTACCATGTGGGTCAACTCTGTGGCCAGCCGTGCATCGAACTCATGCTTCAGTGGCTGGCGATAGCTTGGTAGTGCTGTATCTTTAACCCCTGTGCCACCAGGGACACCCCCATACTTACCTATTTATTCCTATATGACTGCTTGGCTGAACTTCAATTATTGCTGTACATAATGTTGACCTTGAGTTTTCATAAAGTTAAGTAATATGCCAGATGTTCCATTTCAAGACCCAGATTTTTAGGTTTTTAAGTTCTTATGAATATTTTTGTGGTTTTGCATGTTAATAGGTGATCAACTGTCACTTAACCACAAGTGTTATCAGTTTAGTTTATCAGGATTGTGTGTCAGGTAATTCTAAAAGGCAAAAACAGAGGCATGAAGGACACTTTGCCGTGAAATAAATGACCTTCACTTGGTACATGGACTTTTTGTTGTGCCTTTTGAATGCTTAAGATCCTTTTAAGGTTACTTCCTGGTTCTCGGGCTGTGTTCCCACTTTGAAGTTATGGCTACTGGTATATACAGCTATTGGATGCTGCATCGTTAACTTCCTGGCATGTGAGGGAAGGGTCAGTGAAAATGTCTGTGGTTTCATTTTTTTTAAAAAACCTAACACTACTGACTTACATAGTTAAATTTTCTTTATAACATTGTGGTGTTAGATTATAATTACAAGCCTAATATAGACCAATCTCTGACTCCATTTTTCCTTGCGTATGCCACAAATTTGCCACATAAAATTTGTTTAATAGTACTCACTTTATCTTCTTCAAACAAGATCAGCGCTGAATTTAAAATAATAGGGCCTGGTCATAGTAGGTTGGCAGTAAATAATTATTGGATAGCTTGAAGGAATAAATGAATGAATGGATGACCATGATTGCTATAATTAATAATCGACTTAAGTGTATAAAGTAAATCTATCTTTTTATCGCCACAGCTGAATTTTTGTTACATCTGCCTAGGTACCTCTTGTAGGTGTTTAAGAAATCCACTAGGTGGCATACCTTAACTGACACTTATTTTCTTTATTCAAACTTATTCAACTTCAGTGTAGCCCTACATTATTGTTCCAGATGCTGACTTTCTACATAATTTAAGTAGATGAAAATACCATAATTTATTTGGGGGAAAATTATATAGAGAAAAATTAATCTTGTAATTCTTATTCAGAATGGGGAAGATGGAGAAATACTTGATTGCTAGAATGAGATGTAAGGAAAATATAAAATACGTTGATTTTTATCAGCTTTATATTTTTATATTCTTTTTGTATATTTAACTACAGCTTAGGCTCTTTGAAGACAGCAGTATTTCTTTATACATTTCATATACATTTCATAGTGCCTGTTGTGTATAATGCTTTTATACAGTGTATTCTCATAAATGCTTATCAGTGACTACTCTAGAATCTCATCACTTCAAGGTTAAATGAGGGGGGCAAGTGTCAGATATGTGTAACTCATCTTCCCATAATAGTATCTTTGATTTAAAGGCGGTACCTTTGAATCCTAGCTTTATCAAATATAAAAAGTGAAGCATATTGGATAATAAATCCAAATAAATATATTTTTTTTAAAAAACAAATATGCCAGTTGTAGAAGTAATCATATTAACAAATATGAAAGAGTAACTTTTATTACAATATTTTAAGGTTTCAAAGTGTAATGTTCTTATATGTATTTCTAGAATATATTGTGAGGATAAACAGACCTTCTTACAGGACTGTGAGGATGATGGGGAAACAGCTGCTGGTGGTCGTCTTCTCCATCTCATGGAGGTAAGTATAAATTAAACCCTGTTAATCCTTTTCCATGAGCCATCGAATTTCTCAGTGGGGCTCTACTTAGGAGTAAGTACATCAATTAAGCTATGTAACATAAGATATATTGGTTTAATTAGTAGTTAATTTTAAAACTTTGAGAGAAAATTTTAACTTGGATATGGGGCAAAAAGTAAAGCGTTAATAATAAGTGCTGTGCTTTCAAGCTCTTTTAAGTCATAGGCAACAGAAAATTGTCTTCAGCTCTGAAAAACTTTGTATTTTTTGATGGTTTCATCCTCTCTGTTTTCTCTGTTTTGTTCTTGTAAAATTCTTGTTAGATATTGGACCTGGGTAGATCCTGAATGTTTCTGTTTTTATTAAGTTGTCCATCTCATTGCCTTATGTTCTTGAGACATTTTCTGACTATCTTAAAAATTTCTATTGGATTGATTTTTTTGTAGCAACCATGTGTTTAATTTTCAGAGTTCTTAATCTCTATTTTGCCTTTTTCATAGTGTGCTATTCTGGTTTTATGGACACAGTATTTTCTAAATTTCTCTGAGTGTACTAACTAAAGCTGCTTTTTAAAAAGATGTTCTCTCTTTTAAATTTTTCCTAGTCCATTTTAGTTTGTTTATCTTGTCCTTTCTCTTTCATGCTGCTGGATTTTCTTCATCTGTCTGGTGATCATTGCTTGTCCATTAATTTTTAAGAATGGATTGTTTTTTTCCCTAAGGTAGTTGCTATAGTTTCCTTGCTGTTGTTTGTGGAGGTTCTGTTTTCTAACTAGGCCCTTCCCTTGGTAGGAACACTATATGCAGTTGAGGCCTATAGACTGATGGGATTCATGTTAAGGGCAGCATTTGACAAATGTGAAACTGAGGAAGACCTAACTGGTTGGCTCCAGTGATTACTCATGCAGCCCTTGTTCTCTCTAGCAGTTTCTTGAGAAGTAGAGTGTGTGTTGTTGTTTGACCTAGGGGTAAAGGGCTGAACTATTCTGGTTGAAGTCACCAAGAACTAGAACCCTAATTGCATGGTCCATCCCCTTCACTCAGCCTGGTTGCCCCAAAATTTGGAATTTAGGTACACTGTGGAGCACTGTTTGTTTTCCAAATTTCCTTCTCATTCTGACATTCCATCCCTGAATTATTAGTAATCACTCTTTACACATGTGGTTCTGCCAATATTGTCATGGGGAAATTTTATATGCAGTTTTACATATAAAACTCACCTTTGTACATGTCTCTATATGTATCTAATAATGCTTCTGAAAATAACAGATTTTGAATGTGAGGAATGTCATGGTGGTGGTGTCACGCTGGTATGGAGGAATTCTGCTAGGACCAGATCGCTTTAAACATATCAACAACTGTGCCAGAAACATACTAGTGGAGAGGAACTACACACATTCCCCAGTAAGTGATTATTGGTATTATGTTTAGAACGTTTCTTTCTTTTTTTTTTTTAAAGATTTATTTATTTATGCATACAAGAGCTTGGGTACAGGCCAGAGGTGTAGGGATGAGAGGATTTACCAGAGACAATGGGGAACAGAACAGGCAGACTGACCAAAGTACACTGCTGAGGGGAGCAGTGGGTGAGTCAGGAGAGGTCTGCTGTGCCATGTGGGTAGCTCCCTGGCTGGCCCGGGGATCTAACTCTTGCTGCAGAGGCTGTGGACAGCTTCATAGGTTGTGTCTTAACCCCTTGTTCCACCAGGGAGGCCCTCTAGAATGTTTCTTACCACTACCTGTGAAATTAAAAAAAAAAAAAAAAAGATGAACATTTAGAATAACTCAGAATGTTTGTTGTGGTTTAGGTAAAACTTCAGACTTTTAAACTGAGCACTTGGGTTCTAGTCAAAACAGTATAACTGGTTTAGTTGTGGACCTGAGTACATCACTCCATGTTTTATAATCTAAATTCCTTGGATTCATAGAATTTGATTTTTAGAACAATTTTTAAATACCAAATACTTTCTACTTCCTAAAATTGAGACCCGGGAAATTGTAATGTTATAATAAACTAGATGTTCTTTAAACACATGAAATTCTAATATTCTCTATTAGTGTAAAAACATGCCTTTGAGGCATGATTCCTGGGGTCTTTTTTTAGTATTTTGTAAGTATATTCTTATCTATTTTTTAAAAAGATTTATTTATGCATACAAGAAGTGGGGTGTAAGCCAGAGATGCAGGGGATAGAGGATTCACCAGAGAGTGTGGGGAGCAGAACAGGCAGATGCACTGAAATACACTGCTGAGGGGAGCAGCAGGCGAGGCAGGAGAGGTCTGCTGTGCCATGTGGATAGCTCCCTGGCTGGCCAGGGATTAAACTTGTGTTGCAGTGGCTGGCAATCACTTGATAGGGCTGTCTTTAACCCCTGTGCCACCAGGGAGGCTCCTTCTTATCTGTTTTATTTAAACTTTACTGCCTTGCTTTGGAAAGTAAACAGTAGATTAAATGCTATTGAAATTAATGAAATAAGTCTGTTAGATGAGCGTTTTCCCTTATTATCCTTGATTGTTTTGGAAATGCTAAAATAGATTATAAATGAAAGAGTACTGTAGAAAAAGGAATGTGCATATACTTACTTTATTATATGTATTCTGTATGATCCTATTTACGGTTTCTAAGACAGTATCTTCATATAAGTGGATACTAAATTAACTTGTGTCTTTTTCAGGAAGATTCATCTAAGGCTTTGGGAAAGAACAAAAAAGTAAGAAAAGACAAGAAGAGGAGTGAACATTAGTAGCTGAAACTATATGAAAGGTTAATTTGTCTATAACTATATACACATTCCTCAGTCATCAAGGAGTATATTGTGCAGAGAAAGGATCCTTGACTGCTCAAGCCAGCTAATTCATTGTGGACACCAACATTATCTTTTCTTCTTTGGTTATATCATCTACCAAAAATAGAAAACTTTTGACATATTTATGTATGTTTCAGGCTGATTCAGAAGAATTAATTTGAACTTAATCACCACTTCATTTAATTTTAGGAAGGTAACAGTTGCCCAGGGCAGTACCTGAATTAACTGTCCATTTAAGTACGTGTCAAGTGCCTTTGTTAGGTGGGGAAGAAATGTCTCTAGAGGATTATAAATACATGATTTCTTATCATTGGGATCCTCATTTTGTTAGATGAATATTGCTTTTACCCCTCTTTATGGCTTATTGGAATAAGAGCTCATTGAAGATTGATCTTGGAGAGTTTCTTCTTGTGATTTTAGTTCATAAGTATGTCACCTTTCATTTTATAGTGTTCATTACTGAATAATGGGTTAAGTGAAAATTCAGGAATATCCATCTGCAGTTCTGTGCCAAAGTGATAATTCATCTAACATAAGTGTTACACTACCATTTCTGTCACAAATTGGTGATTGTGAAATTTCAAAAAGTGATTTTCTTGTTGCTACCATTTTATTTAATTATTGTAATGTAAAGTAATAAATATGGAGTGTGAGTAGGCTTTCCTTTGCCCTTAAAATGTGTTGGTGTAATATGTGTTATTTTTCAGCAACTAGAAATTACCTTTCTTGTGATCTTCATCAAGGAATTAGAACTATGCTAGGAGCTATGTTCTGGTTAATGGGACAGTCATAGAATGGGATAAAGCTGGAAGAACCACATGGGGTAGGGCGAGAGTATGTCATATAGTTAAAGAAATGTGATGCCCATTTCCCACCAGCACTCTAGCCAAATCACTTAATTGGAAAAACAAAGAAAATCCCTCTTTTTTCCTAATCTTATCACATCTTCTTTGTTATCAGTGTTTTATGTTCCAAGTTACGTGATTTACCTCTAGGCAGCTGGATAAATTTACCTTTGAGGTATATAACAATAAGTCATTAACTGTTCCTTTTCCAATATGACTGCAACCATTTGCAGTCATATCTTGCCTATAACTATATACAAATTATTGTTATTAATTAATCACAGATTTGCCAGAGTTTCCCTTGTAAAGACAACTTGGAATGGTGCTGGAACATGGAAAAAGCTTTGGAGAAAGTGGACACAGGGTTTTTTCTATTCTCTGTTGTTTTACTTTTAAAAGATCCCACATCTTTTTTTTGATATATTTAATAAAAATATAGCAGATAACTTTAGACTAGGATGACTTTTGAGAAATAAAGCTAAGTTTTATTTGTTGTGTTTAATGTTGGCAGGTACCAAGATTCCATGAAAAGCTAAGTATGCCCTGTGTATTAACTGTTGAAATAATTATAGAAGTTAAATACCACAAATTAACATTAAAATAATTGTACAATTTTGGCATGTCAAGTCTGTGAAAGAACATATAAAACAGGGAGAATTTAAAATGAAATGTGAATTTATTTTTTGCAACACTGAATTTGATTTTTTCTTGCTAAATGAATGCATTTATTTAGGTCTTTATAAAAAAAAAGCACATTTATCTGTGATCTCATTTTCCCATATTGAAAAAATTAGTTTTCTTTCCTAAAAAATTATTAACCACATTTCCTAACTAATAAGCTAATCTCCTTTTTTCCAATGTCATCTAGTTAGAAAAACCCAAAATTCTCCAATTCTGCAACCTGAGTTATTTCAAACTCTGCTGTTATGGACCCCTAAGTAATGATAGAGTCTTTTTTCTCTCTTTAAATTTTATCTTGATTAGAGGATTTTCAAGTTCTTCAAATAATTTTCTATAGTCAGATCTGTGCAGTAGCATATTTTATAGTATATTGTACTAGTTAAAAAAATACTCTCCATATGTAAGAACAAGTAACATTTACTTTTAAAATGGGTATATCAATCTGATTTGGAGGTATGTATCATGAAACAGAAACTGAAAAGAATTATATCAAATTGATTCCATTCTAAGAATAATAGCATAAAGAAGGTACTGTTTGGAGAGCAGGTGAAATTTATTGAGGAGAATTGTATTTTCACCTCAAATTCCACTATTTAGAGATAATCATTATTAACATTTGGTATGTACATCCTTCTATTTTTTTCCTGTGCATGATTTTGTATATATGGCTATTTTTTCCCACAAAAATGGTATTAAATTGTATATACTGTTTTGTATCCTGCATATTTCATATAGAAGTATATTGTTAACATTTTCCCATGTCAATAAATATTCTTCTATGGCTTAATGTCTTATGGCTACGTTATATTCTATCCTCTGGGTATCTCATAATATACTAACTAGTCCTGACTTGTTTCCAATTTTTAAGTTGTTTCTCTGATTTTTTAATATTATGAACAACTGAAACACTGTATCACTATATGAAGACCTTTGCATACATCTCTAATTGCTTTCTTAGGATAAATTGCTCTAAGTAAAATTTCTTGATCAAATGTGCAGTCTAGTAGCTTGATTGGTTTATATTCCTACTAGCTTTGTGTTGTGAAATATACTTCGGATACCAGTCAAATGTGGAAAAAGGGGCAGTTTTGTAGCTAAACCTCCAATATCTTTTTTAAAAATGATTTTTTATTTTGAAATAATTATAGACTAGTAAGTTGTATAATCAGTAGAGAGATCCTGTGTGCTCAGTTTTCCTTAGTAATAACACATAACAAAAGCATATTTGTCAAAATCAAGAGATATATTCTGGATACAAGTTTTGTTGGGTATGTGATTTGCAGATACCTTCTCCCAGTTTGTAGCTTGTCTTTCATTCTCAACAGTTGTTCTCAGTAAAAGTTTTAAATTTTGATGAGATATAATTTATCCTTTTTATCTTTATCATATTTTGGTATCATATGGAGGGACTTCCTAGCCCTAGAAGATGAATTTTCTTCTGTTTTTTAAAGTTTGTATTTTCTGTATAGATTTATTATCCATTTTTATTTTATTTATTTTTTTAGATTCATTTATTTATGCATACAAGAACTGAGTGTAAGCCAGAGGTGTTGGGGTGGTTGAGAGGATTCACCAGAGACAGTGGGGAGCAGAACAGGTAGATCTACTGAAATACACTCTGGAGGAGAATAGCAGGAGAGGTCTGCTGCACCATGTGAGTCAGCTCCCTGGGGATCGAACTCATGGCAATGGTTGGAGATAGCTTGACAGCACTGAAACTTTAACCCCTGTGCCATTAGGGAGGCCCTATCCATTTTCAGTTAATTTTTATTGTGTAAGATTTGATTTGAAATTCATTTTTTTTTGCATATGAATGTCCAAGTATAGAAGTGACATTTTTTAAAGTGAACTTTTTATTGATGAATTTTCATAAAATAGTTTTATAATTAGCACTTAATTAAGAAAAAGAGACAACATTAACATTCCAGAATCCCCTTTGTATGTTATTCAGTCATTATCTGGACCTACTTTGTAAATTCCCTACTCTATCACCACCCTGGTAAACTTAAGTCTATGAATGTATGAGGGAACTTCTTGCTTATAGTTTCCTAATATGTAAAAATGTGAATTATGACTACTTCATGTTTGGGATATTTTAAGGGTTAAATGAAGTGCCTTCCATGGTGCTTAGTATGTGGTAAGCAACTGATAAAGTCAATAAATAAATATTATTTTTTCTTTGCCGTTTAGGGGAGAAAGGTCCTATAGCAATACCTCTTATTTAAGATAATTTCTGGGGATTTTAGCAGTGACTAGACTTTTAAGTTGACATTGAGATCACCAAATTGTTAAGCTCCCTTAGGAAGGCAATATAGCATGGTAGCTTACAGTTGGGTCTCTGGAGTATCTCAAATTTGAATCCTATTTCTGCTTTTTGCTAGCTTGGCAAGCTTGGGCAAGTTATCTAATGTCTTTGTATTCAGTTTTGAAAAGTTTATAAAGACCTAAATCTATAGGCTGCTATTGAAAGATTGCTTAATTAGATTCATGGAAAGCTCTGGATCTAGTCAAGGTGTATAGACCAAGGATTTATTTATTTTTTAAATTTTTAACATGCATGAAAAACATGGTTACATTTTATTTAAATTTTATTTTTATATTCCCCATACAATTATAACCCCGTTATTTTGACCCCAATCCCTTTTGACCCCAATCCCTCTTTTCCCCACTCCCCACCCCCCATAGAGTGTCTCTGGTTCATAGTTGTTTGTTGATTTTGATATTTTCTTTCTTATAGTTATTCTTTTTCCTGGTCCCTTATTTAAGTTTTCTAGATTCCTTCTATGAGTGAGACCATCCGGTATTTTTCTTTTTCTTTCTGGCTTATTTCGCTGAGCATGATCCCTTCCAGCTCCATCCATGTTGCTGCAGATTGCATGTGTTTATCTTTTTTGAATGCTCAGTAATATTCCATGGTGTATAGGATTTATTTATTTTTATTTATTTGTTTATTTTTAACTGAAGTAATGTTGGGGTATCCCCATCAGGTAATGCCACCATAGAGCACCCCACCACCAGCTCACCCAAATAAATTGTTGGTATTAATTTGAGTAAACTCAAAATGTTAGATCAGTTAGGAAAAATGAAAGTTTTTATTTGCCTTCACATTCCTTATTCAGTGACCTTCCTTTCTTTATGAGGATTTGAGTTTCTGACCTATATTATTTCCTTCTCTCTAACATTTCTTTAGCATTTCTTGCAATGCAGGTCTACTGGCAATGCAATTTCCAATTTTTGTTTGAGAAAGTCTTTATTTCTCCTTCATTTTTTAGAAAAGATTTATTTATTTATGCATACAAGAACTGGGCTACAGGCCAGAGGTTCAGAGGGTGTGATGATTCACCAGAGACAGAGTGGGGAGCAGAGCAGGAGGATCTACTAAAATAATACTGCTGAGGGGAGCAGCAGGCAAGACAGGAGAGGTCTGCTGTGCCATGTGGGTAGCTCCGTGGCAGGCTGGGGATGGAACTGGTGCTGTAGAGACTGTGGCTAGCTTAACCCCTTGTGCCATCAAGGAGACCCTTCTTCCCCTTTGAAGGATAATTTTCACAAGGTACAGAATTGTAGATTGGTGTGTTTCCCACCCCCCCCCAACTCTTTAAATACAGTAATGTGTCACTTATTGACATTTTCATCAATGATAGACTAAATATTTGGTGGTGGTCCCAATAGACTATCTGAGGTAGCCTGAGTGGGTAGTAAGCTATACCATTTAGGTTTGTGTAATTCTACTCTATGATGTTCACACAATGTAGAAGTTGCCTAATGATGTGTTTTTCCAAAGTATCCTTGTTATTAAGCCATACACTATTGTATTACACTCCACTCATTTATTGATTGCAGGATTTCTGAAAAGTTGAATACAAATCTTATCTTTTCTCTTCTATAGATGTTTATTTCTTCTCGTTTCATTCAGGATTTTTTTCTTCATCTTTGATTTTCTGTGCTTTGATAATTACTGGATGGTCTCTCGTTTGTGGAATATAAATAAAGCAAATGAACTAACTAATATGGTGGTTACCGGGGAGGAAGGCAGGCAGCAGAAGGAATGGGAAGAAGGGCTCAGTCTATTAGTAGGAATGACCCTGGAACTTTGGTGGTAGGTGTAGTGAAGCATACTCCCCAAATTCATATAGTATTGTAAACTAATGGTAAGTAATAAAAAAGTAATAAAAAAGTAATACTAAAAATTAAAAAGAAAGAAAATGATGCAAGGGCAATTAGGTGGCAAATTGAAGATGCTGGGCTCACCTTTTCCACATACAGCCAGGTTGCAGCAGAACAAGGCCAATATACTCCTGAAGGAAAAGCAGATGATTACAACACACGCTAAGAATAGCATCTGGAGGTGGGGTCCCCAGCAAGCAGTGGAACAGGCCAAACAGGTAGCCCACTTGGGTGAGCCAGGTGAGCCCTGGTGCCGTGTGGTGGGCCCTGAGAGCACAAAAGTACAACTGTCAAGGCCCTTAGGTATCCCTCCACGGACCTTGGCGAGCTCTTGGGCAGGTCCTGGAAGCAATCCCACCATAGTCAATAAAGGAAAAAAGAAAGAAACTACTCAAAAAATAAGGTGTTTTTTAAATGGAATAATTTAAATGAAGGATAACCTTAACAATATAAGATGAATTTCTTTAAATCAGTGAGAAAATATAAAGGCATCTAAAGGAATCCAAGGGAAAATGAGTTTAGATTAGAGAGGAAAACTTTCTAATAAACTTCTAAGAAAAATATAGAATACCCTACCTTGGGAGCTCTTAAAATAAAATGCTGATTTAATGTGCATGATTGGGGATAGATCACAGGCTAGAGATGTAAATAAAAGACATCATATTTGACCTGTAAATAAATAAAGGAAAAAAATGATATGCCTAGGGATAGTTTTAATTTTTTTTTTCTGTTTATTCTGCTTGGAATTCTCTGAGTTTCCTCCATGTGTGATTTGGTATTTGAAATTAATTTGGGGAAATTCTAGTCATTATTGTTTCAATATTCCTTTTGTCCTCTCTCTTTATTTTCCTGGTTTTCCTATAATCTTTTGTAGTAACCCCACAGTCCTCAGATATTCTGTTCTATTTCTTTCCATTTTTTGTTCTCTGATGTTTGAGGATGTTGTTGACAGATCCTCTAGCTCAAATATTCTCACTCAATCATATTCAGTCTACTAATGAGCCCATAAAAGGTATTTTTCATTTCTGTTACAGCATTTTTTATCTCTAGCATTTATTTTAGGTTGTTTCATAGAATTTCATATCTCTACTTACATTGCTCATCTAATCTTGCGTGCTGACTACTTTATCCATTAGAGTCGTAGCACATCATATTTATTTTAAATTTCTGGTCTGATTATTTTAACATCCCCATGTATTCTGTCTTCAAATTGTGTTTTTTACCTTTTGGTTTGCCTTGTCATTTTTTCTTAATAGCTAAACCTGACAAGAACAGCTGTAGATAGGACTTTAGCAATGTGATGGCTAGGTGTGGGCTCAGTCCAGAGCCCCGGGGTTAGATCCCAGTCTTCTAATGAGTTTGTCCCTCTTATGGTGGGAATGGCTGGCTAGAGTGGGTTGGGGTTGGGTACTTCTCGTTCTCCATTTCAGTTACTCTCAATATACCCAGCAGGTTAATCTCTGATTAACTAGTTTCCCTTGAGCACAGACCTTGATAAGAACAGAATGCTCTGTACAGAAGCTTTTTAGTGTAATGTAATCCCAGCTGTTTATCTTTTCCTTCACTTTCTTTGCTTTGGGGGATGAGTCTTTAAAGATGTTACTGAGATGTATGTCATGTAGTGTTTTACCTATATTTTCTTCTATATATATTTATGGTTTCAGGTCTTATGTTCAATTCTTTTATCCACTTTGAATTGATTTTTTGTGCATGGTGTGAGGTAGTAGTCTATGGTGATGGTACATGGGTGAATTGGTGGTGGGAATTCTATAGGGACTACATCTGAGAGGAGAAAGTAAACATTGTACAAAAATGAATGATAATGTAAAATATATATAAATAAATAAATTATATTGAAAAAAAGAACAGAATGGCCTGGCCTATTTCAAAATGGTTCCTTTTCTTCTCCCTCTGCAGAAAATATAAGGGGACATTTCTCTGTTAGCAACTGTGTGAACCCTAGTCAAGCTCTTGGAAGTAAATTTATGGCTGGGCACCCCCTGGAGTTTTAAACTCTCAGACGTGTACACAGTGAGCCGCCAGCAATTTTTCACTCACAGTTCATATTTTCCTGCTCCAATGTTGGTTCCTACAGTGTCTTCTATTTTCAGAGGCTGCTCTGTCAACTCATGGCTCCCTGTAGTCTCCTGTCTCTCCAATCTCATGAACAGTATTTTGTCCTTTGTCTTTCCCTTATGGATCCAAGAAGAGTTGTTGATTTTTGAATTTTGTTCTGCTTTTTACTTATTGTTGGTACAGTTGTGACTTCCAAGTTCTTAACACATAGAACCATGCTTGGATATGTTAGCTAACTTGTGTAAATATCACCATAGTGATCAGATTTGGAAGTGAATTTTTCATTTTTTACCATTTTAACAACATTTAGATTTTAAACATCAAAGTATATTTCAAGCTCATGAAGAAGAAATTTAAAATGACAGAATTTTTTTTAGGAAATACAATATTAAAGAGAAAATTCACTGATTCTTCAGATCAATGTGAAAGCTCACTAGCATTCAAACAATGAGGATTCTTCCAATATCTTATTTAAAAAAAACCAAATAGCACATCGATGTAGTTGACACAAAGACCAGAGCAGTGTGATTTCCACAGTATATATAAGAGCCTAGTATATGAAGAAATTTTTACAATTCAGCAAGAAAGTAATGAAAAACCCAACTGAAAAGTAAGCAAAGGACTTGAATAGACTTTTTTTTGAGTAGACTTTTTTTGAAGACAAGACGCACATATAAAAATGTTCTGTACCATCTGTATCTTTTCGAGAGGATGAGTGGTAACTGAGATAATGATAATTGCTTTAATGCCCTTTGTTCACTGCCTTGTATGAGGGTATGGCAGAGTTCTAATATATATTTTTTTAGGGTTAATCTTTAACTGGTTTAGTTAACAATTTGTTAGTGTACATTGTGTGTACTTGTGTTTCTTGGTTTTTAAAAAGAGTCCTTGAAAGCTTGGCTTTTCCTGTTTTTCATCAGATAATATCTTCATTTGGAACCTGAGTAATTTATTCATTAATATGAAATGTTGATATGTGACTCAGAAGATCTTGGGCTTTCACACTTGTAACACGAGTTAAACTATAATATAATATGCTGATGACATTTAATTGACCTAGCCTCTATATAATATTGTTGTTTCTCCTGGTTTTAGAGAAGAAAGAATGTAATAACACCACATAATTTTTTCTTCATATGATATGCAGAAGAAGCTGATTGAGAATGCAGGAGCAACTGTAGGGAGAAGCATTCTAATCACTGATATGAATCACTACAATGAATTACATTGAGGGTAATCAAATAAAATAGATCATCACACCATAGTGCTTGCACAGAAAGTGGTTAAGTTTGGCATATTGATAATACAGGTTAGAAGAAATATGAATATGAAAACAAATGTGTAGGTATTTGAAATATGAAATATGAAAACGAATATTATACTGAATTTAGCCTTGTGGGAAAAAAATAAGTCACTTTGTTGGAAAAAAGTGAACTGTCTTTTATTTCTGTGGGTTTTTTTGGGTTGTTTCTATTGCTGTGTGTGCAAGTTCACCAATCTTCTGCAGTGTTTGATCTGTCATTAATCCTTTATAGTGTATTTTTAGTTCACATAGTCTAATTTTCAGTTCAAGAAACTTGATTTAGGTCTTTTGAAAATATCTTCTCTATTGGCATATTGACTTTTTAAAAATACAAAATACAGATATAATAGTTTTCATGTTCTTATCTGTTTATTCTAATTTCTCTCAATTCTGGATGGTTTCAATTGTGTTTTCTCCCAATTATGGGTCATCTTTGTCAGTTTCCTGCCATGCCTGATAATTTTTAATTGAATTTTAGACGTTTTAAATTTTACCTTGTTGGAGACTGAATAGTATGATGTTCTATAAATATTTGTGAATTGTGTTCAAGGCTACAGTTAAATTACTTGGAAACAGTTGGTCCTTTAGATCTTCCTTTTAAGATTTGTTAGTCAGGATCCAAGCAATGTTTAGTAAAAGGGAAACTATTCCTGTCTACTGAAGCGAGATCTTCTTAAGTAGACCACCCAGTCCCCAGAAATTAGGAGTTTCATCAGGCTGATGAAATCATCCTGGGAACGATCTCTGTAACTGGCTCCCAGTGAACACTGGGTACTGTTCCCTCTACTATTTTTAAGGGTTCTTTTTTATGCCTCACAACATTTCCTCACATACTGTACTAATTGGTAAACTGGTGAATTTTTTTTTTTTAAAGATTTATTTATCCATGCATACAAGAGCTGGGGTACAGGCCAGAGATGCGGGGGGTGAAAGGACTCACCAGAGTCAGAGCAGGGAGCAGAACAGGCAGATGGACCGAGGACACTGCTGCGGGGAACAGCGGGGGAGATAGGAGAGGTCTACTGCGCCACTTGTGTTCCCCCCCCCAAAGGTTGCGGATTGCTTCATAGTGCGGTGCTTAACCCCATGTGCCACCAGGGAGACCCAAAACTGGTGAATTTTTGAGGAAGCTCCTTTGCAGATCTTTTGACTTCCCTCTCTAGGCAGCTCTGTGACAAGAGTCCTGTGTGGGGTTCCCTGACTCTCATCATCTAGCCAGTCAGCTGGACTCCCTCTATTTGTCTCCACTCTGCTCAGTGCCCTGGATACTCTCTCTCGAGAAAGTAGCTTGGGGCAATGGCAAGGCCTACTTCATTTTATTCCCTTCTCTCAGGGTTTAAAATGTTCACTGCTGACATCCAGTGCCTTGAAAAAAATCACCTCATTTATTCTGTCCACTTTTTGTTGGACAGGATGGTGAGCTTAGTCCCTAGAGCTCAGATCTATGTTAGTTTTAAAAATAAATCCCATTTAATCCCAGTTTTTTTTATCTAATCAATATAACAATTGTATTTCAAATATATATTATTACTCTATTAAAGGGAAATGGATAAATTACATTAAATGTTTAAGATCAAACCTTTCATTGTCTTTTAGATCAAACCTTTCATTGTCTTTTAGAAATAAATTTTTAGTGTTAGTTAAAGGGAAACTGTTACTACAACTTTGCTTTATCAAGATTCAGGAAGTGCTATGAGATTAGATTCTGAAAAATGTTGTGAGTAGGAAATTGTATGTTTTAGATATGTGATCAGAAACTGTTCTTGTAAGAATCGACTTACTGGATTAATTTGCTGTATTGAGCTGCTTCTACATCATTGGGTGTGATGTCAGATAATAGCACAACAACTTATTCACCAAGCACTCGCATTACTTTAGCATTTTTAATGAGCTTGCTAGCTTTTGCTATAATGGTAGGAAATGCCATAGTCATTATTGCTTTCGTGATGGACAAAAACCTTAGACATCGGAGTAATTATTTTTTTCTGAACTTGGCCATTTCTGACTTCTTTGTGGGTAAGTTATATATCTTTATATAAGATAATCTTTCCCAACTATAATTTATTTCTAAAACCTTTAACTAAACTCTTGTTAGTTTAAGAAACTGAAATTGGGGATGATTAAAAACCAAAAAATTAAGGATTAAAGTCATGGGGGAGGGGAGCTAAATGGCACTTCAGGGAAATGCTATATAATGTGTATATCAGTTTTGTAGGGGAGATTTTCATAGTTATAAAATTGTCTAGTCTTAATGTCATTTATTTCTGGAGTTATTTACCTTGTATATTTAGGTTCATAAGTATTCCTCTTTAAGTGAACATAGATTTCTTATTATCACAGAGTGGGAATAATAGGAAATAATGTACATACCGGTAACGAGTAACAAATCAAATGATGAAGCATTCAGGTCAGTTAAATAGTATGGCTAACAATATTATTTTATGACATGGTATAGAATAATATAAAATACATTAGCACTAAACTATCTTGCATATAATGGCATGATAACACCATATAATCACAAGAGATAATGCAAGTCAAATTAACCTTTATTTGGAAACATGCACTTTGTAATTTCTTACTGTTCAGTGATCATTTTAAAACAATGTTTATTATAATAAGCAAATGTGTAGAAATGTGAACTGATGATATTGTTTTAATGGAGCTTTATAATTTAATGTCATTGTCTATAGCGTATAAATGCTTGCATTTATGTTAAAATGAAACAAAACTCAGAGAATGCTTAGTTTATTGCCTGGAACACAATGGTTGCTCAACAAAACATGTTAGTTCCCTTCTCTTCACATTTTGCTGCAGATATGTTTCATCTCAAACCAAGGTTACAAATATCAGTAGAGAATCTACCATGTGTAAGTACTGTTAGGTACTCAAGCCTGACTGGATATTGAGGAGATATACAGAAGGTTTTTTTCTTCAGTAAGTTTCAAAAATGGTATGTAGTATGAGGGAAGTTCACAAATTACAACGGTATAGAGTGATGTGGAACCCATGAATACCTACCAAATGCTGTGGGCACTAAGAGGAAGAGAAGGCACGTGAGCTTCAGAGGATGGGTAGAATTTGCACGATAGAAAGGGAGTGGATAGGAGAACCCCTGGAATCCTCATGGGCATGCTGGTAGAAGGTTATTGTGTGCCTTTTTAATTATGAGCTCAGGGCTGGCTGGTGTGCTAATGGCTGTATGGAAACAGCTGGAGTGGTCGGAGTCTGTATATGAAGACTTTGAATACTAGTGTGAGTCTTGATTGGACTTTTCTCAGCAGACCATGTGGAGATTTAAGTATTTTTAGAAGTGAGTGATTGGATGGATTAAAATTTTATGTTAAAAATTTTCCCCCAGGCCGTGGGGTTTCTCTTCTTTTGGTTACTTTCTCTTTTGGTTACTCTCTTTTGCCTCCTCTCCTTTAACTCCCTTATTCCCATCCCCCTTATTTAAACCCTAATCCCTCCTCTCCTCCCTCCCCTAGTCCCATAGTGTGTTTGTAGTTTATAGTTGTTTGTTGATTTTGATTTTTACTTTATTATAATTAGTCTTTTTCCTGGTCTCTTATTTAGGTTTTCTAAATTCCTGCTATGAGTGAGACCATCCAGTATTTTTCTTTTTCTTTCTGGCTTATTTCGCTGAGCATGATCCCTTCCAGCTCCGTCCACGTTGCTGCAAATTGCATGAGTTTATCTTTATTGATTGCTGAGTAATATTCCATGGTATATATGTACCACATCTTCTTGATCCAGTCATCTATTTTTGGGCATTTGGGTTGTTTCCGTAACTTAGCTATTGTAAATAGTGCTGCTATAAATATAGGGGTGCAGGTGCCCTTTGGAATTAATGATTCTGTATCCTCTGGATAAATACCTAGGAGTGAAATTGCTGGATCATATGGAAGCTCCATCTTTAGCAGGTTGAGAAATATCCACACAGCTTTCCATAGTGGTTGGACCATTTTGCACTCCCACCAGCAGTGCAGGAGAGTTCCTTTTTCTCCACACCCTCGCCAACATTTGTTGTTGCTAGTTTTTTTAATATGTGCCATTCTCACTGGTGTAAGATGGTATCTCATTGCATTTTTGATTTGCATTTCCCTGATAACAAGTGACTTTGAACATTTTTTCATATGTCTTTTGGCCATTTGCATTTCCTCTTTGGAGAAGTTTCTTTTAAGCTCTTCTGCCCATTTTTTGATTGGATTATTTACTTTGTTTTTGTTGAGTCTCATCAGCTCTTTGTAGATTTTTGTGATCAGTACTTTATCATTAGTGTTGTGTGCAAAAATTTTCTCCCAGTTGGTGGGGTGTCTCTTTGTATTGGTTACTGTCTCTTTAGCTGTACAGAAGCTCTTTAATTTGATGTAGTCCCAGCTGTTTATCTTTGCCTTCACTATCACTACTTTGGGTGATGAGTCTTTAAAGACGTTGCTGAGGTGGATGTCATGTAGTGTTTCTCCTATCTTTCCTTCTATATATTTTATGGTTTCAGGTCTTATATCTAGTTCTTTAATCCATTTTGAGTTGGTTTATGTGCATGGTGTGAGGTAGTAGTCAAGCTTCATTCTTTTGCATGTAGCGACCCAGTTTTCCCAGCATCATTCATTGAACAAATTTTCTTTGCTCCATTGCATATTCTTTGCTCCTTTGTCAAAGATTAGTTGACTGTAAATCTGGGGTTTATTTCTGGATTTTCAACTTTTTATTTATTTATGCAAGCACTGGGTACAGTCAGAATCGCGGGAGGGTGAGAGAATTCACCAGAGCCAGAGTGTGGAACAGAACAGACAGACTGCTGAAATACACTGCTGAGGGGAGCAGCGGGCGCGGCAGGAGAGGTCTGCTGCACCATGTGGGACCCTTGCCGGCGACCGGGTATAGAACCAGCGCTGTAGGCCGTGGGCAGTTCGCAGCCCAGTGCTCAACTGCTGCGCCACCAGGGGAGGCCCTGGATTTTCAAGTTTTAGATGGCACTGAGCATTTAAAGTCAATTATGTAGTTTGACTATTCCAAAGGGGACTAGTCTGTGGTGGTAGGGAGGATGAGGTAAAACTGTACCTAACTAAGGGGGCCTGTGCTTGAGATTTCTGAACAAAGATGTTCCCAATAAGAATGGGGTGTCTCCATGTATGGCCACTGAAGTGCGGAGTGTATAGTAGTGGAAATGCAGACAAAAATGTCTGCCCTCATCATCCTTCTTTTCCAACTAGAAGCAGGAGTGGTGAAATAGATGATTAACAACAATAATAAGTAAATAAAATCATATGGTATTTTAAAGGGTGATCATTATTTTATTTTTTTTTAAAGATTTATTTATTTATTTATTTATACAAGCACTGGGTACAGTCAGAAGCGCGGGAGGGTGAGAGAACTCACCAGAGCCAGAGCGGGGAGCAGAGCAGGCAGAAGGACCGAAGTACACTGCTGAGGGGAGCAGCGGGCGGCAGGAGAGGTCTGCGTGCCATGTGGGACCCTCCTCTGGTCTGCCGGGGAGCAGCCAGGGATCGAACCGGTGCTGCAGAGGCTGCGGGTAGCCTCGCAACCCAGCGCTCAACCGCTGTACCGCCGCGGGGAGGCCCAGGGTGATCATTATTATGGAGGAAAATCTAGCAGAGGTGAGGGAGAGAAGGTGCATTAGAGATTAGGTTTAAATTTAAACTTTAGGGGTTGGGTTCACTGAGAAAGACGCATTTGAGCAAACAGAAGGAGCAATCTGAAGGAAGAGCATTTCATGCCCAGGAGCAAGTGCAAATATGTGAGGGGGAAGGCAATATATTTGAAGCCAGGGGGCTGGAGTGGAATGAGGGAGAGGTGGTGTTTGTACCGTAAATTATTACTGGCATCACAAACGTCCTTCTCATCCCATGGAGGAAATGAGTGTTTGTGTGGAAACTGCACTGGGGACTTTGGAAGCCACAGCTCTGGGCCAAAATAAAATGAATGTCTCTGTTTTTAAAGATACTTTGTTTTGTCTTAGGTGAAACTGGTGACCTATTTCATACCTGAGGTGTGCTTTCACACACACATCTTTGAGATGGAAGGCTCCACAAGGAAGCTTATTTATCATTAAAATATAATTGAAACATAAAACAAGCAGGAAATTTGAACTACAAATAAAAACTGACCACCTAGCTCTTCATTTCTGTGGTGACTTGTCTCGTGTATTTGTATGTAAACACAGGCCCTAATTCTGCATTCACTCCTACAGATTCTGAACCCACACTGTTGTGGCCTCATGCCATCTTGCTCTGGGAGAATTCAGGCTTTTCTTCACCCTTCTCTCTCTCTCTGTCTCTTTTTTTCCATTTCCTTTCTTTCATCTTTGCTATTGTTCTTCATAATAGACTGACTAACTTGGTTCTCATATGAAAAATGGGAATTCCTGCCAAGTACCTATAAAATATGAAGATACTAAACACAGTAAGATTTCAACCATGCTTCCACTTACTAGATTATGTTCTCAGTGAGTAGTTTCACCTGTCTGAAATGTCAGTACAATTAAAAACCCTTACAAAACTAAGGGGAAGGGAGGTGAGGTTAGTCATTTTTAATAGTTAAGCCGTTTCTGTGCTGAGCTGAACCACTTCTGTATTTGTTCATTCAATGAAAGGTAGCAGTTAAAGTCAGGAGTTCTGAAGTCACATTGCCTGGTTTCAAATCTAGTCTTTCACTTAATAGCTGACTGGATCTTGGGCTGATTTTGACTCTTTTTTGAGCTTCAACATCATTATATGCTAACTCAGCTTGATCTCTAACTCACAATGTTTCTATGACTATTAAGTGAGATGATATATGTAATGCACTTAGCACAACCCCTGGCATGTACTAAGTATAATATAATATAATATATATTAGCTGCTATTAATTTATTTAAGTTAATGTGTAACCATTGTACTACTCTAGATGTGAGAGATATAAAGTTTAATTTATAACATGAGAAGTTAAAAGATGCTATGATATAAAGTAGAATGTATTTGCAGGAGGGGAGAGTGGAGGAGAGGGAAATAAAGTGCCAGGAGAGTACAGATGACAGAGGGGTCACTTCCATCAAGGACATTCCAAGAAAGACGAAAAGGAAGAAACCATTTTTGAACTGGGTGAAGGATGAGAAGGAAGTAGACAGACTCAGTGGAAGAGAGGGCATTCTATGAAGTAAATGATGTTGGCAAAGGCAAAGAGATGTGAAATGTGGGGTTTGTTTTGGAGGACAGATGGCTTAACCTCTTTGGATTTGATCATGAACATAAATGGTCATGATCATGCTGTAAATGCTAAAAATATATGTCAGTAACTGAATGTAGTTTGGAAAATAATAGGGGACCATTGAAAGTATGATGTTCATGACAGCTATTATAAAAATGCTATTTAGGGCCTCCCTGGTGGCTCAAGGGTGTTAAGCACAGCACTGTGAAGATATCTGCAGCTTCTGCAGCATGAGCTTGATCCCTGGCCGGCCAGGGAGGAACTCACACGGTGTAGCAGACCTCTCCTGTCTCGCCTGCTGCTCCCCTCAGCAGTGTATTTCAGTCAATTTACCAGTTCTGTTCCCCATTGTCTTTGGTAAATCCTCTCACCACCTGCACCTCTGGCCTGTACTCAGTTCTTATATGCATAAATAAATAAATATTTTTTATGCTATTTAAAGAATGTGTAGGAAATCAATCCTGAGTATGTTGAGGAAATGCAATAAATTGCTAAATTATAAGAAGTCATTTGTGGTCAATTCAGATACGTTATTGTGCCATGTACCTATGTATTCACTCATAGGAGCTTTTTTTTACTCTTATTTTTCCCTCTATACAGGCATGATCTCCATTCCTCTGTACATTCCTCACACATTGTTCAACTGGAACTTTGGAGATAAAATCTGTACATTTTGGCTCCTTACTGATTATCTTTTATGTACTACATCTGTGTACAATATTGTGCTCATCAGCTATGATCGATACCAGTCAGTCTCGAATGCTGTAAGTCAAAACATTAATTTATCTTTCTCAGATGGTTATATACTTGTACATCCCGGTGCCCCCACCCCAGTCTTTCAAGTTTAATTTTTTGTTTAATTAACAAACCTTTAGGGAACATGATGATCCTTTTGTAACCTACCACAAAGTTCTTGTTAACCCTTAGTGAATATTTATGTATGTGATTTGGGTAAGTCACTCCCCTCTGTGCCACTAAAAGTGAGAAGGTACTAAAGAAACTCTTAGGCATACTGAGTCCCCAATAGACTGAATATATTTGAGATTCTCAGTAGGCTTATCAGTTTCATTCCTTGGACAAATTGAGACTAAATTTTTTTGCTCAAGATGGAAGTAGTAAAAAGACTTTGAAGCCTTTTGATTGCCAAAAGATCAATTTTGAATTGTCAAAAGAAAAGGCAGCTTACTGGGGAACTGTCTTAGCCAGTGAGACGGATCAGAAATATCAAGTGCCCATGCCACATTAGGACCCATCTCAAGAAAATCTGAACTTCCGCAAGCTTTGAAATAGCCTCGTCAACAAGTTAGTGAGAACTCTTAAGCTAAATTTATCAGCAATATAACAACGGAGAAAGCAAAGTTGATTTAAGTAGTACATGATGGAAGGGGGCCATACTATTGGGCTGTGGTCTGAAATCTTTCAGACCTCCATGGACAACTTCTATCATTCCTAAATCCCAGGGACCCAAATCCTGCTACTGTGTGGCAGGATTTTGCTAAGTACTAGGATGAGAAATGAATGCATCAGCAGTCTTATTTTTGAGGAACAGAATAGTTTAATGAGGAGACAGGTCCATAAACAAATGTGTTCAGGACAATGGACTCAGTGTGGTACTGGAATTGCGGAAGACAGTGCCATCTCTGGCTGGAAGGACTGTGCCTTTTGGAGTCAGCAGGCTGAGGATAAGGCAAAGAGATTGCTGTAACAAAGAGACAACAACATGGTGAGCCTCAAACAAGACAGAAGTTTATTTTTCACTTGCAGAACAATCCAGAAAAGTTAGATGGCTCTACTCCAGAAACTCATTCAGGGACTTAGGCTAATGGTGTGGCACTATCTTCTAGGGCAGGACCAGCAAACTTATATATAAAGCCAGATAGTAGATATTTTTAACTCTGTGGGATTTATCGTTTCTGTTGCAACTGCCCACATTTTCTGTTATTGCGTGACAACATCTTTAGATAATGTGGAAAAAAAGTTTCATTCTCTTCCGAAAAATCTATTTATACAAGCTGGTGGTGGATCACATTTGTTCCATAAACAGTAATCTGCTGGACTCTGCCCTAGGTCATTACCCTGTTCTGCGAAGTCAGAGCCAGATTGTCAACCCTCCAGGTACTAGACACGAAGGACAAAGGGCAGAAGTCTGGCGCAAGGGATTTTCTTTTAACCAAGTAGTGCAGAATCATACAGTCATTTCTGCTCACATTTTATTGGTGAAACTTAGTCTCACGGTCCCACCTTGATGCAGGGCAAGCTGGGAAATGTGTTCTCCAGCTGACCCAGCACAAGGCCAGGAAGAAGGGGAGAGCAGATGTGCGAGGACAGCTAGCAGAGGACAGTCAGTGAGTACCTCACTGACACCAGAGTCCACCGCAGTTTATACTGGATGAACTGTGAATTTGGATTGGTAATTCAGACCCCTATAATCTTATGTGTTTCAAACTGTAGAGCTTGCCCCACTATTGAATCAATAAATCCATTCAGTGGGTTGTATTCAGTTACAATTTTTTAAATGAAAAAATATAGAAAGGAGCAAAGTAGAATGGAACAAAGATTAGAGAATAAAATATCAGAATGTTTGCACACAGTAAAGGCAAATTTTTTTTTATGAATACTTCTCTCTGCCTATAGTCTTTGTTATAATGTAAAATGAATTTAGGTCACAGTCAAAATGTTGGAAAACTAGTCCTCTCATTCATAGTCTTTCCCATCTGTAGTTAAAGTTTTTCCTTTCTTTCTGGGTTAATTTTTCTTTTTAATCTTCACTGGAACTTGACTGCACCCTCTTTGAGGAACATCTGAGTTCTTGAATCTAGCTCAGTTTCATTGGACGGTTGCTCATTTAGAAACAGTGCTTGGGGGGGGGCCTCCCTGGTGGCTCAGCAGTTGAGCGCTGGGTTGCGAAGCTGCCCGCAGCCTCCGCGGCGCTGGTTCGATCCCGCCTGCTCCCTGGCCACCGGTAAATAAATAAATAAATAAATCTTTAAAAAAAGAAATAGTGCTTGGAAGTTAGGGAGAGATTAGTGGGGTCCAGAAGAAAGAAAATGGGTGGGCTGTTTCCTTCTCTTGGCTCTGGAATTCCCCTGATAATTCAGGCTGTAAACTCATGAGGGCCCAGTGAGCGAGCCCCCACCCCCAGAATGGAGCAGGAGCCAAGAAGGTAAGGAGCAAGTGCAGGTTTGTGGGTCACTGTCCACTGGCGGCACTCACAACCCTGGCACCTCTGTTGGTTGTGAGCTAGACACAGCTGAGGCCAGAAGGAAGCCTTCAAAGATGTGGTGAGCTCTTGGAAGTGATAGTGGGGAAGCTGAGCTCTTGCAGCTGAAAGTGGAGAAGGCAGCGTGATAATGCAGAGCAGTGGGCTGGGCCTGGGAGAGGAAATCTGAAAATAGGCCTGATTACAGACCTCAGGCAAGTTTTCTGGAAGGTGAGGGGAAGTAGAACAGCATAACTGGAGGGCATGGGAATGAAAATGTATGCAGCAGAATTGAGGTAGTGAGGGGAGAGGTTTTCTTTACTTGTAGAGGAAGAAACAAGCTTGAAGGTAAAATCAAGACTGTGAAGAATATCATCGTAGGTGGGCTAGCTTGTCTCCTAGGACTGCTGTAACCAAATACCATACACCAGGACTGAAAGGAACACTCTTATTTGCTCCAGTTCTGGAGGCTAAAAGTTGGAAATTAAGGGATAGGTAGGGCCATACTTCCCTTGAGCTGGTTGCCCAACTTTCTCTAAGCTGCTGTCATTACGGGCCATCCTTAGGGTTCCCTGGCTTGTAGATGCACCACCCCAATCTCTCCTCCATCATCACCTGGTGTTGCCCCCTTGTGTCTATGTATCCTCTTATCTAAGGACACCTGTTTTACTGGGTTAGGACTCACTTTGATTTAATTGAATATGAATGTTAGGACTTGAACACATCTTTTTGGGGGGGTACACAGTTCAACCCATAGCAGGCACTTAGAATGACTCTGCACCCCCATTTGTTATAAACGTAAGCAAGTTCTAGGGCAAAAGCAACCTGACTGGCAGAATGTGTGGCTACCTTACTGGGGCAGTGGAGGGAGCAGGAGAATGACAACCTTCTGCATAGGGGCATATTCTAAAGAGGATGAGAGGTGGGCCATTCCAACTGGCTTGGGACTGGATACAAGACGTCTTGAGCTGTCTATCTGTCTTGAGCTGTCTATCTGTCAAATGCTACCCAGAGATGAAGAGATTGGCATTGTCTTCTCAATTCCCTGGGATGTGCATTATCCCATTTGACCTTATGCATAATAGAAAAGAGATCACCTCCAACATATTGCATCATATCATTACAAGGCTGAACAGAGCAATTAAAAAAAAAACCTAAATGCTGTTTTATGACCATCTGGGTATTGTTACCATTTTCACAATCATTAGATTTCATGCAAAAGACACATTAATTAGTGGCATGACAAGCAGAAGGCAAAAAAGTACATTATGCGTGGAAGTTTGTGGTCAGCACCATATGTGTTTTAGCTTAGCCTCAGAAATACTCATAATTTGGGGAAGAACACTTCCCTGTGGTTTAAGAAAAAACTTAGTTTTGTTTTCTTTACTTTTTCTACCTCCTGCCAATTGGTGATGCCTTCTCAATGAACATATACAATTCATAAAAGAAAAAAGAAAGAGCTAGGTAATGTTGAACCCTTTAGATGAAAGGAGAAAATACTGTATATGAGACTTAAAAACCCAGAGACTTAAAAACAAAAGAAAAGAGAGTCATCTTCTCATATCATGGATAGATCACTTTTTTTCAGGGAAACAAGGAACATTGACGCTGAATGGAATCTCACTGATTTGAGGAAAAAATAAGAGAGATTGTTCCAGCTATCCTTAAAAATCTTTTTTTCAGGGCTTCCCTGGTGGTACAGCGGTTAGTCTCAGTGCTATGGCTAGCCACTGAGGCATGAATTCGATGCCCCGCCAGCCACTGCGGCATTATTTCAATCCCCAGCCAGGGAGCTAACCCACATGGCACAGCAAATCTCTCCTGTCTCAACCATTGCTCTCCTCAGCAGTGTATTTCAGTCGATCCACCTGTTCTGTTTCCCACTCTGTCTCTGGTGAATCCCCTTATGCCCCGCACCTCTGGCCTACAACCCAGTTCTTGTGTGCATAAATAAATAAAATAAATCTTTAAAAAAATCCTCGTTTTATATTTTTATCCTTCATATAGGGTGATTGGCTTTAGGTATCTTTAGATTTCTTTAAGAAGATACTAAGTATTTCAGGATCTATCAAAGATCAGGGGTCCTGTGATTTGAAAGCCAATTCTCCCTCATAGATTCTCTTTTTTCCTTGCAGATGACAGCCCTTGAAATCAGGTGGATCTACAATATTCTTCACCCTTAAAAATGACTATGATCGTACCACCGTGTCTCAAAATGGCTGGTTACCACAGCTTAGCACCATTTTTTTTCAGGTGGAAACACTTGTAGAGAGAAGTGATTGTCAACACTGTAGTGTTCTGCAAAGCAGATATAAACTTCTTTCTTTTTATGGTTTACCTTACGAGTGATGTAAGGGTTCTTTCTCTTTCTGACTCCCGCCTTGAAGTCCCAGTATAAATTACAGAATAGATTCTCCTTGAATATTGGAATTGGAACAGCCAGTGGCTTTCATACTTTTTTAACTATGACTACTGCGAGGAATGCATTTTACAATGTGATTTCTTTCTCTCTATGTATATCTTTATTCCCAAAGCAAAAGTTCCATCATACCTTACCATGTGTGATGCATTTTGACATGGACTATCTTATTTCATGAAAACACACCAACAATAACTTGCCTTGGCCTGACCTGCAGGTTGAGAAGCGTTGTGTAAGGGTATATCCAATTTCAGTTGTTTTACAGTTTAGATCAGTGGACCAGGAAATACAGCTTCTTTATTTTAGATATTGACCTTGGTATTTTCCATAGTGTCAGGTGTTTAACCTTGAGGGTTACAGCCTTGCCTTTGAAAACCACTAAGAAGCTCTACATCTTGGTCCAGGCTCCACTGGGTCCCTCTGGACCCACATTGTATTACCCAGGTCCAGGTAACAGCCCCCATCTCTTGCACATCCCTGAAACTCCTGGGGACCTGTGGTATGCTTTCTGTAATCAATAGAAGTTCATTATACTGAAAATAATTTATTCCATCTCTTTTAGGTGTCTTACAGAACGCGGCACACTGGGATCTTGAGGATTGTGGCTATGATGGTGGGCGTCTGGGTGCTGGCCTTCTTAGTGTATGGGCCAATAATTCTAGTTTCAGATTCTTGGAAGAATGAGAAGACGAATTGTGAACCTGGATTCCTTTCAGAATGGTATATTCTTGCTATAACGTCATTCTTGGAATTCCTGGTCCCAGTTTTCTCAGTGGCTTATTTCAACATGTACATTTATTGCAGTCTATGGAAGCGTGGTAATCTCAGCAGGTGGCAAAGATATCCCAGACTCACTTCTGTCTCTTCCATTAACTGTGGAGACTCATTGAGTATGTCAAGAGTGGCAGTCCTGGAACCGAGGGAAGCAGCAAAGTCCCATCGTTCTGAGAGACAAGACAGGAAGAACAGCCTCTTGCTTTCTTTAAGAACCCAGATGAACAGGGGTGTAGCTGCTTCCAAAATGAGTTCCCTCCACCATTCAGATTCTGTAGCTTTTCGACAGCGGGAACATCTCGAGCTGCTTAAAGCCAAGAAATTAGCAGGGTCTCTGGCCATTCTCTCGGGTGTTTTTATCATTTGCTGGGCTCCCTATTCTCTATTCACAATTATTCGTTCAATTTACCGCCGAGATCAGCATCCTAAATCCATCGGATATGAAATCACATTTTGGCTTCAGTGGTTCAATTCCTTTGTTAATCCTTTTTTGTACCCATTGTGTCACAAGCACTTTCAGAAGGCTTTCTTGAAAATTTTTTGTATAAAAAAGCCACTTGTACCATCACACAGTCAGTTAATGTGCTCATAAAGAAAATTTTCTTGCTTACATAAATGTTGGTCTCTCACCTAAATTGATTGGATGTGGCTTTCATCTTTCCCTTCCCATGCTACTAAGAAAGTCCATAAAAATCAAAACACCTGAAAACTTAAAAAAAAAAAATAAGAATCTGGAAGACAATGGAAAATGATTCCAGTGAATAATAACGGTATAATTAGAAATGCACAACAATATTTTGTGAACTGATAGCCACAGAAAGATCACGTATTTTCTAGGCCATTACCTCTTCTTTGTCTTTTAGATCTTGATAAAATCTTGATTGTGAAAGTGAGGCATTTTTGTTTTCTTTCTATGGTCAGTGTTTGCTACAGTCTTAAGAGAATTTCCCTTTTTATTTTACAGTGATGAAAATGTGTCAAGTTTTAAAATTATTTTCTGATATCTACAATAAAAAAGGACCATATTACCCTCTTTGCTGGGGGTGAGCAACTCTTATGATCAGTGGGCAGGCTAGTGGGGGTTTCACTTGGCAGGAGCAGGAATGAAGGTGTCCAGGTACAGGAGGAGAGTGCACATGAACTTCCAGATTTTATATTCCTGATCTCAGGAGAGCAGGAAGTGTGGGGTGGAAGGGGAGATCAGATAAGCACATTTCTCAAAGGTCCTCAGTGAAGTCATCCTGGAGTCCCAACATCAATGTTTGGAGGGTGAGGGACAGGACAGGGTCACCAATGAGTTGAAAGGATGACTTTCCCTCTAGAGCTCCATTCTTCCAGCTTCCACATCAGCTAAAAATTCTCCATGAAAAAATATGGTAGAAAGAGAAAAGTTTAGAAATGGCAAGAGGACTACCTGATTAAACCTGGTGGCTTTCTTTATCATTAATAAATGTAGCTCTATTTATTTGAGCAACATTTTGTCTAATCGTTGATAGCACAGTGTTCAGACTGATTACCTGAGAAGAGCAGTCAGCATTAACTACTATACTTCACAGATGAGTCAGATTTTATTTCTCTGGTGATGTTTTGTTCTTTTGATCATATTAATTGATTTTTCTCTTCAGTGTTCTTTTCATGTCTTTGTTATAACATTTTATTTGGTTTCATATTTAATTTCATCTCTCCTATAAGGTTTTAATCAATGTTTCTTCTATAATTTCTTACACAATTTAGTCATTTTCATACTTCCTAGATCTTATAAATCCATGGTTAATTTCAAACACTAAAACAGGAAAGTTTTTTAAGTACATAAATGCTTAGAAATGCACATAAATTTATATAATGCTGACTTGCATTAAGTTCAGAATAAGAGATACATGTTTAATGTTCAATAGTAATTTGAAAATTTTGAGAAATGAAACTGTAAGTGCATGTGTTCTTATAAAGTTGTTACACATTGGGCCTTCCAACATGTAACGTTGGGTTAAGCAAGGGGTTAAGCACCACGCTATGGAGCAATCCACAGCCTCTGCAGAATGAGTTCGATCCCCAGCCGGCCAGGAAGCTACCCACAGGGCTCAGCAGACCTCTCCTGCCTCACCCACTGCTCTTCTCAGCAGTGTATTTCATCAGTCTGCCTGTTCTGTTCCCCGCTCTGTCTCTGGTGAATCCTCTCACCCCCCACACCTCTGGCCTGTGTCCCAGTACTTGTATGCATAAATAAATAAAATTTAAAAAAAAAGAATCTATCACATATAAGCTACTTATTGTAAAGATGTCTGTGAACTTTGCCAATAAAATTTTGATTCCCCTTGGCAAGAAGGAAACTTTGGGATTTCCTTAGCATAATGGGGTTTCTTTAGTAAAATGTACCTCATAGGTGCTCAGTAGATAATTGTCAAGAAGGCATGTATTTGACATTTTCCTTAAAAAATGGAATGTAGGGGCCTCAATGGTGGTGCAGCGGTTGAGCGCTGGGTGCCCCGCAGCCTCTGCGGCGCCGGTTCCATTCCCCGGCTGCTCCCCGGCCACCGGAGGAGGGTCCCACATGGCGCGCAGGCCTCTCCTGCCGCCCGCTGCTCCCCTCAGCAGTGTACTTTGGTCCTTCTGCCTGCTCTGCTCCCCGCTCTGGCTCTGGTGAATTCTCTCACCCTCCCGTGCTTCTGATTGTACCCAGTGCTTGTATAAATAAATAAAATAAATAAATAAAAATAAAATAAAATAAAAATAAAATCTTAAAAAAATGGAATGTAAATCCTAGTTTTTAAATCCAAGTTTTAAAATTTGCACTTGAGGGAACTTAAAACACTTTTTTTCATTATAATAAAATTCACATGTACCTAGCCTATAGAGAAAAGACAATGTTAAAACAATTCTTATACTCAAAAGCAGTCAATTAGTAAATTGGTGTAGATGTTTCTAGAGGAAAACAATATAACCCCATTTTCTGGAAACACATGTTTGTATATCTAAACTATTCCTTAAACTTCTGAAGATAACTTTTGGTGAATTCTTTCATGAAATGGAGGCTCCTTTCTCCTTTCTAGTATGAGTAATTACCAGCCCTGCTCCAAATAGAGCTGTTTATAAATATTTATTAAATTTTAAATCAAAGTATTTAATGTTTAAGTTTTTTAAAATATGTATTTAAATTAAAAAAAAAAACCTATTAGCTCATCTTTTATCCAGACTAAACTTCACTCACAAAACATTCCTAATAATCCTGGTTCCTAAGTGTTGGCGTCAGTTGGCCTGTAGAGAACAGACTCCAGAGGAGGGAAGGCAGATGTAAGCACAGAATGTCAATTATAAATGACATTTAGGTTTTTTTATCAGTCACAAAGGCTTTAAATATAAATAACAATAACCATAGAACTATTTTACAGAACTGCTTTTTGGAAACTACCCTGCTGACACCAGGATCTTGGCACTTAAAGAAGCTGTTTCTTATGTTATGATTCCAGAAAAAGAGAAATTCCAACATATGAAGTAAACTTTTTATTCTGATCATTAGCTATTAGGGTTGAGTCAAGCAACAGAAAACATATTAATGATTTCAAATCAAAGGAATTTTACCAACACAGGGTTTTGGAAGACTGAAAATACAAGAAGGGGATGCTGACATAGCTCAGAGATGAATAACTTAAGATGACAGCTGCCCTCTTTAAGGCTAGAGAGAATAAAAGAGAAGTGATATTATCATAATCCTGGAACTTGAAAGTCCCAGGAGGACTGATGCGTGGAGCTCTGATTGATGTGTGGTGCCCAATGGTTAGGGCTTGGACAGCCAAGTGGTGGGGACAGCTGGGGCTCGGACTATCATGGGGGCGCGGGGTGGGGCAGTGGAGGCTGCTGCCACTATCTCTGATGGGGTACAGAGGCGTGCCTTCCAATCTCTTGCCAGTGCCTTCCATTTGTGGAACCCAGTAGAAAGTCCATTGGCAAAGGAGTCTGGGGAATGCATGACTACCAGCCTACAGTGCAGTGGATAAAAGTTAGCCTTGGAGATGATAGACAACTGGCAAAAGCATCCTATGTTTAAACATAATAAAACAGGATTTGGGGATTTAGCATTAACAGTTTCAACAATTTATAGGCAGCCCCTAGTCCATAACATTATAATTAATAATTTTTCTTAAGGCACACATTCTAATTTGTATCCTTAGACTATATGCTAAGTGACTTGGCTGTTAAGCCCAGCAACTCATTCCAAGAAAGTTTTCTCAACCTCTATTCTTGTCACATGGACTGCAGTGCTAACAATGGTCAACTCTATATTGGAAGTGAGGGGGAAGGAAGAAGACCCCGGGAAGTGTGGGACTCAGCGGGGGTCTGTCCCCTCCTTGATAAGTTCGCTATACATTTAATGACAGAGATTCGAGTTGGTGGTTCGCAGAGGTCTGGTCTGTAAGAGGGGTTGATTTCTCTTTGTTATCTATAAATTGGGGAATTTAACATTAAAATTAAGATTTTTGGTTTGTTTAGAAATTGGAAGATCCAGAACATGGGAATTCCATTCCCTTTTGAAAATTTTCTGACTCTGGGTGGTAGTTACCTCTTTTTCTTATTTAGTCACTTCCACTCACCTGTCTATGCCTTTAACATCTCAATCCCTGCACTCTATTTAAAAAGAAGAAATGATTCTCAAAGATAGTTTAGTGAGTATCCCAGAAAGTATAATGTTGCCTTTTAAGTCTGGGGTCTTTTCCGGGTATGATTACTCTGTTCCAAGAGACAGGAACAATTTGTGAGAGTATTGGTTCCTATTACCCAAATGCATAAAGACAGTGGTGGGGCAGCCAGGGTGAAAGAAACTAGAGCTGGCATGACAGCTCTGATGTATATTGTGGCTTCTTCCCAAGGCTGCGATGATGAATATTCATGTCTTTTTTAACTGGAAAGAAAATGGGCCTTTACCAGTAGCCATAAGAAAAAAATTCTCCTAAAGATCAGTTGAGGGCCCTGGGTATCTTGTGTGGATATCTTGGGAGCAGTCCCTACAGGAGAGAGGGGAGACTAGTATTACCCACTTAGGTCAGTTCCCCATTCATACTAATCTCTGTGGCAGGGAGATAGGATCAGCCCCTTTCAAACATGTAACCAGAAGAGGGAGGAAAAGTTTCTTCAAATGAAGAGCGCAGAAGGGGGTAGAGATAATAAATTTCTAGTCCTAGGGGTGTTCAAAAGTTGGGGACTTTGTGCAGATCTGATCATCTTCTTCATACATTTTGAAAGACTGCCCAAGTCTCTATCCCTTGTTGGGTCCCCACCCTTTGCAATGTGACTTTGAAGCTCTTCCCATCAAGAGGGATTTACTTTGGCCAATAAGCTGCTGCTAACAGCCAGTTAAATAAGACCATGTGAGTGTCAAGCTTAGGCTTCCAGTAACCTGTGCACATTGTTCTGTCTCTTAGAACCTTGCCCGACCGCCTGATGAATGCATCCCTCCCCCGGCCTGCTGCAAAATGAGGACCTCCTGGAGCAGAATCAAGCTGCTGTAGCTGAGCCCATTTTAGAGCAGCCAGCCTCCAGCTGACTCAGGAGCTGACTGGTGATGCCTCGGCAAGTGCAGGCTAAACAAGGCCAGTTGAA